TACGTTATGTAAAATTAAACTATCAAGCAGTAAATAGCGAGTAATGTTTAAAAACAATGCAACTGAACCTGTTAACCTTTCATAGTGAGGGATGTTCATATTTTAAGACTCTAATTAATCTTTTAAAATAATGTTAATGTAGGGTTGTTTTCTATGGAAGTTAATTTCTGCCACTGAAAGAAAAAATATCCCCATGGTAAGTTATAATTATGAGATAAAAACAGTCGAATTTATGAGATAAAAAGTCAAAATTATGATATAAGCAGTCATAATTATGTGATAAAGAGTCAGAATTATGAGATAAAAGTTGAAATTCTGATACAAAAAGTCATAATTATAAGGTAAAAAGTCCTAATGGTTATAAAAAAAAGTTGAAATTATGTGATAAAATGTCATAATTATGAGATTTAAAAGTCAAAATGATGAGATAAAGTCAGAAATGTGAGATAAAAGTCGAAATTATGAGATAAAAAGTCATAAAATAAAAAAATAAGATTATGAGATTAAAAAGTCAAAATTATATGATAATCAAAATGATGAAATAAAGTCATAATTATAAGATAAAAAGTCAAAATTATGAGATAAAAATGTGAAATTATGAGATAGAGGTCAAAATTATGAGGTAAAAGGCCATGAGATAAAAAAGTTAATGTGAAATTGAGATAAAAGTTATAATCAGGAGATAAAAAAGTCACAATTATGAGATAAAAAGTGAAAATTATGAGATTTTTTAAAAGAAATTGTAATATAACATAAAAAAAGTGAAATTATGAAATTTTAAAGTCATGATTATGAGATAAAAAAGTTGAAATTATGAGATAAATGTCATAAGATAAAAAAAATTATGATTATGAGATTAAAAAGTCAAAATTATGTGATAAACAATGAAAATGATGAGATAAAGTCATAATTATATGATAAAAAGTCAAAATTATTAGATAAGAATTTGAAGTTATGAGATAGAGGTCAAAATTATGAGGTAATAGGCCATGAGATAAGAAAGTTAATGTGAAACTGAGATAAAAGTTATAAGTATGAGATAAAAAGTCACAATTATGAGATAAAAAGTGAAAACTGAGATTAAAAAGTCATAATTATGAGATAAAAAGTAAAATTATGAAACTTTAAAAAGTCATGATTATGAGATAAAAAGTCAAAATTATAAGATTAAAAAGTGAAATTATGGGATATAAAAAAAGTTGTAATTATGAGATAAAAAGTGAAATGAAATTTTAAAAAGTCATGATTATGAGATAAAAAGTAAAAATTATGAAATTAAAAAGTCATAATTATGAGGTAAAAAGTTGAAATTATGAGATAAAAAAAAGTTATAATTATGAGCTTTTTCAGGTGAGGGGGGTTTAAAGAGACAGGCACTAAAATGGAGTGTTTCATACAGAGGCTGAATACAGGTATATTTAGGCAGACTCTCTGACAAAACTAATGTGTTTTTTGAACATTAAAGCATGTAAACATGTTGTAGTAGAGACCCAAAATACAAATATGAACCCAAAAATTAGCATAATATAGGACCTTTAAATTATTTTTTTTTACATTAGGCAGAATTCGGAAAACTAAACATGTTGCATTATCTTTCAAAAATATTTTGGAAAAAATGCCAAAACTGTTAAAAAAGAAAATTACCATTGATGTGGTCTATCTGAAAACCTGTCTTTCACCCCTATTATTTAAGTATTTATTTGTTTAGGTATTCATCTATTGTTTTCCTGTGGAAGAGGATTAGGCCACGTGAAAAATGTATTAAAGTTTTGAGTCTAAGATCTGAATTCTGACTTTACACTCAGAGCTCCCAAAAAACATTTCACACGTGTGTTACTTATTTATGTATTTATTCATTTACTCTATTTCCCATTCTGTTTTGATGTGGCTATATCTTGTTTGCATCTCATGTTTCATTATGTTGTTTTGCACCAGGACCAGGTAAACACAATTTTGTTCCCCTGTTTACGGCACTGTATCTCTAATCTCTTGCTTTCTCTGATGCCTTTGAAACTATACTTGTTTTAAACTTCATATGTGCATGATGTTACTAAAGGTCTCTTTTTAAAATGAACCAAATTCACACACCAGAATCATTTATGCTACAAACTTTAATGTACATTATTCACGTGCATTAGTTATGTACAACAGCTATTTACATAAAAATATATATGCTATACATTGTATAAATAATCATTTCCATTAGTGCAAAGAGCTCAGTGATGTGGCTTATAGCCATGTGCCAAAATATGCTTCCACAAATATGTTTCCGCCCGTTGTGCCTTTCCTTTGATTTCATAACAGGGAAGAAAATAAAGAAAAATAATTTAATTTGTGGCCTGTTTTTGTGGCTGCCTTCTCTTGTTTTTGGTTTAAATTCATCTTAATAAAATAACAAAAAAACAGAGCATCTTATGGGCTCAAATATAATTTAGGTATGCCACTCTTGCATGTAGGTTCAAGTCATGAAGTAATGAATAATTATGTATTTTGTCAAACCACAAGCATCCAATAGTGTTTAAGGGAAGATGTGGTGATACTTAAGTTTGCTTAATATTCATTTCAGTTTCACACATTTGAGCTTCCAGGAACAGAGCCAACCACAGCAGGGGTTCCTACCCTTGTTCAAGGATCACATTTATATTCAGTGTTGCCCTAGAATCTACGTAAATCAAATCATACAGTTCTTCTGAAGTGGGCAAGTTAAAGTAAATTAAAGAGGTAGTATCCATTAGAGTCCCGGCACGAAAAGGCAATCATGGCAGACAAGATCTGAAACTGTTTTGGCTAAAAATGTCAAAGAAAAACATGAATGGGTTCAGTGTGAGAGGACGTTTATCAAGTCTGACTCTCAGTTTCTTTACTCCTTACACTGCGTCAGAGACACATGAATGCATTAATCTCAGTGGTGTGAGTGTTTTGAAGTATGTCCAGGTAAGCTGCACTGATTTACTGGATGTACGTGTCATGCACACAGAAAGATAACCAAATATGCCTTTTCCTGCTTTATGTTGAAGCCGTGGGTGTAACTGTTTAAATCTTTTTTTTTCCTAAGCAAAATGCCCCCAAATTAAATTGTTCCTGCTTCTCATATGTGAACATTTCCTGGTTTTCTTACTCTTCTATGATAATAAACTGAATATATTTGGGTTATGGACCATTGGGTGGACAAAACAAGCCATTTAACATTTTTGGCTGTGGGAAATAGTGATAGTCATCTTTAGTTGCAGCCCTGATTTAATATTCACGACATGATTTTGCCAAGCAGGACATGTTCCTGGGTCAACATCCCACGTTTCGTTCCTGGACCAACATGGCAGTCAACCAATCACAGCCCTCTGACATCATCAGCGTGCCACTCCTGTGCTTTTCCACGCTTCTTTAAAAATGTCCCATTTCTAAGGCTCCTTCGAATGCGACCAAGAAATGCAGCCTCCTTTCCCAGAATTTGAAGGATGCAACAGATGAATCCTTCGTGGCCCAGCCTATCCAGAGATATACTGCACAACGGTGACGATTGGGTTGTTTTCAGTATGGCGCCTGATACACCACCGATAGCAGTGGTGGCAGATTGCACTTTTAAATGTAAGTACTGGGTTTCAACTCACTTGAATAGCTAACAATATAAATGTTACAAAACACAAGAGGCCTTCAAACCTAAAATTATATATCAAATATCAAATTATATATCAAATATCAAATTATATATCAAATGGCAGTGTCGCCAGTGGTGAATCATTTCCTAAAGTATTAAATAAAATTTAAAAAATAAAATAATGTCGGGAGGGCGGTGCGGTGGTGTGGTGGTTAGCACTCTCGCCTCACAGCAAGAGGGTTGCCGGTTCGATCCCGGGCGTGGGAGCCCTTCTGTGCGGAGTTTGCATGTTCTCCCCGTGTCAGCGTGGGTTCTCTCCGGGCACTCCGGCTTCCTCCCACAGTCCAAAGACATGCAGGTTAATTGGTAACTCTAAATTGTCTGTAGGTGTAAATGTGAGCTTGAGTGGCTGTTTGTCTCTATGCGTCAGCCCTGCGATAGTCTGGCGACCTGTCCAGGGTGAACCCTGCCTCTCACCCGATGTCAGCTGGGATAGGCTCCAGCCCCCCCGCGACCCTCAAGAGGATGAAGCAGTTAGAAGATGAATGAATGAATGAATAATGTCGGGGTCCATGATTTAGGGCTAACTAACTTGCTAGCTCACTCCTTGTGTTGTCAATTGCAGCTGGTTGCTAAGTAACAGGAACGCCAACGGGTCAGGGTGAAAACAACTGGTGATGCAACCAGGAAATCCTCCACAGACCAGATCGTACCATTTTGGAGACTGTTCAGTTTGGTTGATGCGGTCTTCAAAGGACATGGCCGCATCCTTCAAAAGCTGCAGCCCCTGAATTGAGACACAGCTTTTGTGTTTGTTCAGAGCTAAGCTAGTTTTCCACAATTGGAGGAAGTAAAATTTAACAAAATCCTCAGAAACAGTAAACAAAATCCTTTTAAACTACTTAGCGAGTTAGCTTGCTAACTAGGTTGGCTATGCTAACAAGTAAAAGTGCCAATAGACTTGAAAATTAGCGAGTTAGCTTGCTAACTAGGTAAGCTATGCTAACAAGTAAGCTTGCTACTAAGCTAGAATATTGTTCACTTAGATTAAAAGTAAGGATAATATCAGTTTGCAGCTGCAATGGAAACATTTCACTCCTTTTTTCATGCCCATTCAAACTGTTTTTTCATAATATTGTAGTGCTCATGTTGATCCAGGACCATCACTGCTACATTATTGTTGACATTAACAAACTATCCAGTGTTTTTAAAAAAAAAAATAAAATAAAAATAAAACAAAACTTTTTTAATGAGCTATAAAAAAGGAGGGAAAATGTGTTAATCGCAGGTAACTTAAAGATATTATCCTTAACATTTGTTTAACAATAATCTAGCCTACTAGTTAGCAAGCTAACTCGCTAACCCTGCAGCAGCTTGTGCGGATTTTATTCAATGTTACTGAGGATTTTGTTCAGTTGTTCCACATTCAATTTGGAAAACTAGCTTAGCTTAGGAAGCACAAAAGATTTTTGAAAGAAGTACAGCTGATGATGTCAGAGGGCTGTGATTGGTTGATCGCAGCATTTGTCCAGGAAGACGTCCTATTCAGCAAAATCACGTTGTGTGATTGAATATACCTGTTTTTCATTCTGTTATCAACATCTTCAACTATTACACATTCATCAGATTACAGAAACATTACCTTTACATATCAAAATATTCTATTTTAATATAGAGGTAGATGCAGTACATTTATGAGGCATACAGTGTGATTTATCTGTGAGTGCAGGTGGTTGTTGTGTGTTATAGCAGGGTGATTTCACTCGGTGGCAAAGTGAGTCTCTTTTCTCTGACTGACAACATGTTCTCCATGTGCATGGCGATGACTCGGCACAGCTCCAGGCCCTGGAAAACACACATACACACACACACAGCAAGGCATTTACATAAGGTGAGTGAAACAGACACAGAAAAGTTACATCCACAGTGTATGCTGTATCTGAACATCACACACAAACCTGCTCCAGCTGCAGCTGAGTGATGCGCTGGTTGAGCAGGTCTCCTATCATGATCTCCACATACGGATAACTGGAGCCTGAAGTCGGTCTCTGAGTGCGAGTCGACTGGACCTCCTTCAGAGGGAAACGCACCATGGCCTCCTAATTACACACACACACCAAATATATGTATGAATACACACATATATAGGCAAGGGGCACTTGACAGGCTGACAGGCTGACTGACAGACAGATATGCTCAGATATTAAAAGTCAAAACTTATAAAATATAGGATTTAATAGATAGAAGAAGACAGTGAACACAATAACCAGCAGAGGGAGCCAAGTACTTTGTTTTGAAATCAACCCCTTTTTGCAGTAGTTTGCTTTTAATATAAATTTACCAAGACAATGTTACTGCTTCAAATTCATGCTGTCACACACACTCAGCTGCCTGCTGCCATATTTTACCAGCTGGTCCTTGAATGTAAAGCGTGCAACATTACACTCAGTGGATTTGTGCTTGAGTGGATGATTTGCATACATGAGTATCCTTGTTCAGAAAGTGCAGTCCATTCAGATTCACAGCCAGGATGCACGGTGCGTAGATGGAGGAGGAGCTACAGCTCTGGATGTAGAAGAAGGAGGAGCCGAACATGGGGAAGGCACTGACCAGACCTGGGGCAAATACACAGGAAGGGTCACTTTTAATATGGCAGTACATTCAAGCCAAGAGTCAGTGAATTAAACTTTATGAGATCTACTTTGCAGCACTGTTATGAACTAAAAACAATTATTCCGGATTAAAATGTGTGTCTTCTCGTCTGTAATTTCCTGCTGTAGATGTTTTTAAAGAAACACCCTTAAAGAGCTATATTTTAGAAATAATCTGTAAGTAGTTAATTGATTATGGGACTGATGAATAACATGAACCACTCTGTAAGTCACTTACATAAATACACACACACACATTAAGACAGAGCTGTGGTCTTACCAAGGAACTGTGCGCGAGCCTGGTGTGGGTTTAAGGGCTGGACCTGCTGCATGTGTTGAGTTGTCATATTCAGCCAATGCTGTGAACCCTGTTTGCTGTAGAACTGTGGGGGGACACACTCCTGCACCTCACGCCTAGAAACATGAACACACACACACACACACACACACACACACACACAAAGCCTCAGAAGCAGTAGTAAGATATTATACATGTGCAAGTGTGTTTGCAGATTTGAGCTTATGCTGCACGTGACTGCACCAGAGAGTTCAGTCAGGACCACTTTGGTCAAAGAAAATGTTATTTCCATTCGCAGTATTATATCTGGCGGTATGGCTTTGTTCTGGGGCACACCTTTCTGCCCTTCCATGCGCCTACATGGAAAGCCTAAGGTAAGGAAAGCAGCAGCAGAGACCCCCAGGAACAGAACAGAGCAGCATCAATGACAGACAGAAATGACATTGATAAGTCAGACACAACATGAAAAGGAGGAGCTGGGGTGGAGGTGGGTTACAAAGAGGAAGAGGAAGCAGCAACAGTAGACAGGTCAGAGCAGTTTAAATAGGGCGCCCTGAATGAGATTTGCCAATTGGCTGCGTAGAAAGGAATCATGTGATCTATCAGCTGACTCTCTTCCATCAATCAGCTGCTCTATCAGTTGATTGGGCTGTTTGAGATCAGCTGGGATGTGAGCTGAGCTTGACATCGTGTCCTGCCTGAGCTAACATTATGCTCAATTCAGGGCAAAAAGGTTAGTGTGTGTAAGTGTGTGTATACTGTATTTACATGGTGGGCAGGTAGATGGTGTCCTTGGCACGGTGCTGTAGGGCGGCCAGTCTGGCAATCTGCTGCAGATGCTGATCACTCGCCTTACCCTGAGGGACGACACTCAGCAAGGCCTTCAGGTAGTCTGGCAACACCTTGAAGAGAGACACAGAGAATAAAAGTTTGTTGGTGTTTATTTTACTGTATGTTCAAGTTTTAAAATCTTCCTCGTCAGACTGTGCTAGCTGAGGTGTATCTGCGCTCACACAAATGAAAAACCTACAAATAATGTCAAGTTAGTGGTCAAGCAAATCACACAGTAAAACAGCAAAGTCTGTTTTTTCCATGGCAAAGCAGTTCTGCAGGGAGGACTATAGAGGTCAAATCTACTGTTTCTTCCATGTGATAGTGTGAATTATAAAACGAGCCACACAAGAAGAATATGAGCCAAATTTCAGATTGGATTAGCTACAGTAGAAGCAGACGTGGGCTGTCTTTCATTTCATACAGTAGAACTGTACCTGGTTATAGTGCATGGTCACATAGAGTTCGTTGTCAAGTTTGAGTGCCAGGCTCCATATGACTCTCCTGAACCACAGACTGTAGTTGGTGTCCACTGGCTCTGCCTCTGTAGCAATATCCAGGATGTACTCACGCTTGTTCAGGGGACGCACATTCTGACCTACACAGGAGCACACTTCAGTTATAATCTGTTTACCTACAGTGTATTGCTGTATGTCAAAGAGCGTTTGCATTGTAGGTCTGTGCTATGACAAGCATGTTAGATCCTTGATACCTTTGTGTGTGACCAAAAAGATGGCATATTCGTCCAAAGCCTCCACCCTGTGTAGTCCCATCTCATAGCAAAGCTCCTCGATGACGTCCAAAGCAACCTGAAACACAGAAATCCACTTATAACAAGCAATGCTGACACCATGTGTACCCACAGAGGCAGCATCTGTTTTTTGTTCTGTATAAAAGCTCAGGTTCAGTCAGGTCTGTAAAGGCTACACACTAGCATAATGCTTCTCTTCAGAATGTTTTTAGGTAATGGAATATTATGCAGAATTTTCCTAGAATATAATGTAAAGACTCACAGAACAGTAATCCACCACCGTGCCACCAACTCCCATATAGCATAACTTTAATGTGCATACGTGTGTGTGCCACTCACAGAGCACGTCTTGATTTTCAGGTGCCTTTCGATCCCACCTGGCAGCAGGAACAGCTGTCTCTTGGAGCTCCGCCCAGCCTGCACACAAACAACCAATCACAGGAAATCGTTTTACAATTTAACACCAGTGTGGAGTATACAGCTGCTACTGAGAGCACCTGCTTAACAAACTCACACTTTGGCATGACAGATGCCTTAAGTAGAAAAGTATCAGTGGTGCTATGGCACTTTTAGAATCCAGCGTAAATATTCATGCCAAATATATAACGCAATATACAGTACAGGCCAAAAGTTTGGACACATCTTCTCATTCAATGCGTTTTCTTTATTTTCATGACTATTTACATTGTAGATTCTCACTGAAGGCATCAAAACTATGAATGAACACATGTGGAGTTATGTACTTAACAAAAAAAGGTGAAATAACTGAAAACATGTTTTATATTCTAGTTTCTTCAAAATAGCCACCCTTTGCTCTGATTACTGCTTTGCACACTCTTGGCATTCTCTCCATGAGCTTCAAGAGGTAGTCACCTGAAATGGTTTTCCAACAGTCTTGAAGGAGTTCCCAGAGGTGTTTAGCACTTGTTGGCCCCTTTGCCTTCACTCTGCGGTCCAGCTCACCCCAAACCATCTCGATTGGGTTCAGGTCCGGTGACTGTGGAGGCCAGGTCATCTGCCGCAGCACTCCATCACTCTCCTTCTTGGTCAAATAGCCCTTACACAGCCTGGAGGTGTGTTTGGGGTCATTGTCCTGTTGAAAAATAAATGATCGTCCAACTAAACGCAAACCGGATGGGATGGCATGTCGCTGCAGGATGCTGTGGTAGCCATGCTGGTTCAGTGTGCCTTCAATTTTGAATAAATCCCCAACAGTGTCACCAGCAAAACACCCCCACACCATCACACCTCCTCCTCCATGCTTCACAGTGGGAACCAGGCATGTGGAATCCATCCGTTCACCTTTTCTGCGTCTCACAAAGACACGGCGGTTGGAACCAAAGATCTCAAATTTGGACTCATCAGACCAAAGCACAGATTTCCACTGGTCTAATGTCCATTCCTTGTGTTTCTTGGCCCAAACAAATCTCTTCTGCTTGTTGCCTCTCCTTAGCAGTGGTTTCCTAGCAGCTATTTGACCATGAAGGCCTGATTGGCGCAGTCTCCTCTTAACAGTTGTTCTAGAGATGGGTCTGCTGCTAGAACTCTGTGTGGCATTCATCTGGTCTCTGATCTGAGCTGCTGTTAACTTGCGATTTCTGAGGCTGGTGACTCGGATGAACTTATCCTCAGAAGCAGAGGTGACTCTTGGTCTTCCTTTCCTGGGTCGGTCCTCATGTGTGCCAGTTTCGTTGTAGCGCTTGATGGTTTTTGCGACTCCACTTGGGGACACATTTAAAGTTTTTGCAATTTTCCGGACTGACTGACCTTCATTTCTTAAAGTAATGATGGCCACTCGTTTTTCTTTAGTTAGCTGATTGGTTCTTGCCATAATATGAATTTTAACAGTTGTCCAATAGGGCTGTCGGCTGTGTATTAACCTGACTTCTGCACAACACAACTGATGGTCCCAACCCCATTGATAAAGCAAGAAATTCCACTAATTAACCCTGATAAGGCACACCTGTGAAGTGGAAACCATTTCAGGTGACTACCTCTTGAAGCTCATGGAGAGAATGCCAAGAGTGTGCAAAGCAGTAATCAGAGCAAAGGGTGGCTATTTTGAAGAAACTAGAATATAAAACATGTTTTCAGTTATTTCACCTTTTTTTGTTAAGTACATAACTCCACATGTGTTCATTCATAGTTTTGATGCCTTCAGTGAGAATCTACAATGTAAATAGTCATGAAAATAAAGAAAACGCATTGAATGAGAAGGTGTGTCCAAACTTTTGGCCCGTACTGTATGTTGATTGGCTGTATCACCATGGTATTCTAATGATTGTTTATAAAAAGAAAAGAAAAAGTTCCTTCAGTCATTGGCCATGTGATTTTCTTTTTGGTTTATTGCACACTTTACCATATGTAAGCCATATAAGAAGACTGCATGGTTGAATTAGGCTGTTCAGACTGCCAGCCCAGATCAGTTTTTGGCATTTACAGATTGTTTCCCACTTCATTTTAGGAAGTCTAGACAGCAAAACCCTGCAAACTGGATCCAGACCACTTTTGGAGGTAGTTTGAAATGTGAGTCTGATCAGATTTCTATAGAGAGGTGTCAGTCCGGATGCTCTGGCAGCTCAGATTGGATTCCAAAGTGTCTTTTGCATCACTTGTGAACAATGATGTTCAATCCATAGTAAAAATGCTGAGCAGAATCCATGTCACTACTGCAGGGTGCTATGGAAGACAAAATGGAAAAAAGTGTCTGTCCACAACAGTCCGTGGACAGATGCCTAAGGAGGAGTTCTGCACCTCGACTTGACAGCACATTTGTTTAGAGGGTGAAATGATGAATCTGTCATTGCCCAATCCATACGGGAAACCCAAGTTGTTGCACCCATGTGCAAAGATGTTTGGGGTTAGGGATCGACCCCGAATGGTTCGGGTCAGGAAAGACCATTGGGCAAGAGATAAGACCTGAACAGATTGGGTTTCCAAAAGAATCAGTTAGTGAACAAATCTGATTTGCCGGCAGTAGAGACTTACCAGCATAGCTTTGAGTTCCATGCTGTTGGGATACTGTATACGTCCGCCATATTGAAAAGTCCTCCTCAGGTTCTGCTCACATGCCTTGGCAATTCCTGTAGAGCAACAGTCAATGGCAACTAAGGATACCATCAGACTGGTAGTGAGTGATTTCAAGATGTGATATATTTGGTTGATGGTTTGTAGCATCTCTATCTAAAATGGATGGATGGGTGGATTTTCTACCTTGGTACTGCATCCCGGGGCTGTTACAGGCGTCCTGCAGGAACTTCAACAGAAATGGCTTCATCACATCAGAGCAGCGGTAGAAAGCTGTCAGGATGTACAGCAGCCTCCATCCTCTCTGACAGCTGTCCCTACATAGACAAATATACACACAAGTGCAAATTAAAGCACAGATTAAGTTGTGATTCAGACCATGATGTAAGTGTAGAAGAGTCTTACGGTTTGGAGCTGGTGTTGGTGGTGACTTGCTTCATCACCTGGCAGTAGGCTTCATCTTTGATCAGACCATGGTCCCCACTTAACTACATATATGAGCACATGCATGAGGATAATGGTGTTCAAGTTTACTTAAATACATCGTGTGTAAGTCAGTTTATCATTTCATCATCTTAAAGGGGCAGTTCACCCCAAAATCAGGTAGTGCTGTTTATGAATCTAGATTGTTTTGTTGTGAGTTTCTGTATGTCGGAGATATCAGCCATAGAGATATCCGCCTTTTCTTGAATATAATGGAACCAGATGGCACTCAGCTTGTGGTGCTCAAAGCACCAAAAATACATTTGAAAAACTCAACAGCAATGTCTCTTTCCAGAAATCATGACCCGATTACTCATGATAATCCACAGACCTTGTTGTGAGCAGTTTCATGTAGGAACTATTTTCTGTCTATTAAACTAAACCTGCTACTGTATCACCACACAGAGGGAAGTGTTCACATACTTATGGATGAGAGGCTTGTGACAGCACGAGATGTAAACATTCATGGTGTCCTCCTTGGCTGAGCTGTAACATTAGCTAGCTCAGTGGTGCTAGGTGAGCTATCAGTAAATGCATGCTTCCTTCTGCGCAGTGATTCGGTTGGCAGGTGTAGCTCAGTACACAGAAAATAGTTCCTACATGAAACAACAAGGTGTGGGAACAATCCTGCTGTTCTTAAATAGCACTACAGGTAAGAGGAAGAATATGTATTTTTGATTTTGGGGTCAAGTGTTCTTTTAGTATTCTATAAACCAGTCAAATATGTGAGTAAGTGTGTGTGTGTTTGTGTACCTTCAGTATCATGGTGACCAGGTTCTGTTCAGTCTGACCCTTCAGTGGAAAGTCTCCCATGAACTTCATGATGGCTGGATGAAAACAATCAGTCGACATGGAAACATCTCATTAAACAAAAGAACAGGGAAGTCTCCATTTCTTTTCCCTCCATCTTTCAGAATCTCAATCGAATCTTAAGGACCGTATTTAGCAAGCTAAAAATTCTCCTCATTTCTCTTCTACCCCTGATGTACATCCATCCCTCCTTTCCTTACTCTCTACTCACCTAAGAAGATGTCAGCAGCCACTCTGTTCATCCCACTGTCTGAGAAGTCGATCAGAGACTCCTGGATCGGAGACTGAAGAGACACAACACATGGACAGGACCAAGAGATATATTTGTGTAGCGGTTACAATACAACACACAATATGGCTGAAAATTAAGAAAACATATGCAAGAATACAAAGACTTTTTTTGGACAATTATGCTTTGAAACAAGCTCAGCTGCTTTACCTTGGAGAATTTAACCATGTCAGCAGGGTCCCTGCCCTCCTTCCCCTTCTTGGCTTTCTGATCACTGTGGACAGGATACAGACAGCTGTTACTAAGCATGTGTGTTTGTCCATTTGTCCATTGTGTTTACTGCAGAGAATATCAATTTGAGATGTAGACTTATTTGGTATCACAAAACAGCAACAGTTCCCACCCTCATCTCTTGTTTGGTACTTTTACAGAATGATCCATCATTTCATTTTTTACAGTGTAATTACAGAACACAAAAATATGGGGTGATTTTCATTTGAGATTAAGAAGAAGATCAAGAAGTTGATGGACAACAAGAACTAGAACAAGAGTAACAAGGAAAAGAAGAAGACAGAAAAGGAGAAGAAGAAGGAAAAGAAAGAAGAGAAAGAGAGGAAGAAGAAAAGGGAGAAGAAGAAAAGGGGGAGTAGTAGAAGAAGAAAAAATGTAAAGAAGAAGGAGAAAACAAAGAACAAGAAGAACAAAAGGAAAAGTAGAAGAAGAAGAGGAAGAAGACGGAGGAGGAGGAGGAGAAAAAGACAGAAAAGAAGGAGAGGATAAAGAAGAAGAACAAAAGCAAAAGTGGAAAAAGAAGAAAAGAAGAAGAACAAGAAAAACAAGAAGAGCAAAAGGAAAAGTAGAAGAAGAAGAGGAAGATGATGGAGGAGGAGGAGAAGAGAAAAGATGGGCAATAAGACAGAGAGGATAAAGAAGAACAAAAGGAAAAGTGAAAGAAGAACAAGAAGAAGAAAGGAAGAGGGAGGAGGAGAAGAAGAAAAAGAATGAAAAGAAGAGGAAGAAAACGAAAACAAAAAAGAAGAAAAAAGATGGAGAAAAGAGGGAGAAGACGAAGAACCAAAAGAAAAGTAGAAGAAAAAGAGGGACAAGAAGGACAAGAAGTAGAGGAAGAGGATGGAGGAGAAGAACAAGAACAAGAAGGAAAAGAAGAACTAAAGGAAAAGTAGAAGAAGAAGAGGGATGAGAAGAAGACATTTTTGAATTTTTAACACAACCTTTATCGACACAAGAAAAAAGAGATATCAACAGAAACTCCAGCAATCAACAATCAAGGAGAGGAAGAAGAGGAGGGAAAGAAAAAAGGAGAAGAAGAGGAAGCTACACCCAGTATTACAAGTAAGTATTTTGTCTTAATATTTGTAGATATTGAAAACAAGAGAGCTGCAGACTCACAGTGAGAACATTATGTGGACATCATGATGTCAGTGCGTGTGTGTGTGTGTGTGTGTGTGTGTGTGTCTGACCCTCTGTTCCTCTGAGCCTCTCTGAAGTACTTCTTGGCAAACTCAGCCATGTGGTACTGGCTGCTGTGCAGAGGCAGGTCGTCCAGTTCGACGCACAGACTGTCCCCATACATCTCATTTACCACCTAATACACACACACAGCAATAAAAAGCTGAGCAGCAAAGATGTAATTATCTACAGAATATTTCCATTTTTGCTGAACCAAAATATTCCAACATACACTGAATAAACAGCAGCGTGTTCCATAATGGAGAGGTTTATTAAAGCTTAAACCTAAAAGTTATTCTGGCTGTGAGCCTGATGTTCACACTGTATCTTCAAGCTGAAAATAAATACCATGCTTCTTTTTTGGAAGGTAGGAAACTATGCAGCTGTAATGTGAGTCTTCACCTCCATGGACAGGTCGAGCTCATGGGCAGCTACTGCTGAGCCCATCGCCACGGCAACAGCAGCAGATGCAGCGACTCGCCCCTGTCTGTCTCGAGGCTCCACACGCTCAGCGGGGAGAACCAGGAAGTCTGGTGCAGCCACAGGACGGACGTACTCGCTGGGAAACGCTCCAGATTTCCCATACACAGCCCCAAACCGCCAACCTGCACACACACGCACACACACACACACCAGAGGATGTACAGAGAGGTTCGTATGCAAACACAGAATCTCATCAAGTGTTACAAACAAAAAACTGTCACACGCAAAACACAGAAAAAAGCCAAGGTGATGTCTTTAAATGTTTGGTTGTGTCCAACACCAAAAGAAAAAAAACAACTTTTATTTTTTTTAAATATATTTTTATTATTTTTCATGTATTTATATTTTTTATTTTATTTGTCTTTTGTATGTTTGATTATTGATATTGTCAAGTATTGTTAATGTTTCTTGAAAATCTAACAAACAAGGTGCAAAAAAAAAAGAAAAAGAAAGAAAAAAGGCATAAATGTAGAAGTTAAGGCTCTACTGAAAAAAAACAAACAAACAAAGCCAAACCAAGCAGCAAAAAGAAAACAGCAAAGCACCACACAACAGATCCCACCGCCAGGCTCCCAAACCCACCAAACTCAGGAGTGTCTCTCTTTAGCTCCTCCAGAAGCATCACCTTCTTCCTCACTATGCAGCCGTAATGTTTACCTGAACACACATACATATGCACACAGACACACATACACACAGCGGACAGACATGGCATGAAGCACAGAGAAGCAAAGACACACTGTACATGACTCACAGAAGCAGGAAGCAGCTCTACATATACATCACAGTGCTGGTTCTCAGTGTGGGAGTGTTTGTGAGTGTGTGTCTCACCGGCCTCCAGCCCGTCCATGTGCTGCACTCTGATTATGTCTCCTTTGTGGAAGCTGAGCAGAGACCTGTCCTCAGTGATGTAGTTCCTCACCGCCACCACGTACTCTGAGTCCTGACAGAGATATGACATGTTGACATGTGTCAAAACCCAAGATTTGTGTCACCGATTCAGCATCTGACCAAATGTCTCATGGTGTTGCGTAATGACAAGAAAAGTGTTTTATCAGAACTTAATGATGTCACAGTGAAGTTGACCTTTGAACATCTGATATAAAATGTCATTACTTCATTATGAGTTATAGCCAAAAGCATGTTTCCTGAGGTCACAGTGACCTTGACCTTTGAAGTTCAACTACCAAATTCTAATCAGTTTATTCTTCAGTCCAAGTGGACGTTTTTGTCCAATTTGAAGAAATTTACTAAAGATGTTTTAGAGATATCACGTTCACGAGAATGAGACTGAAGCAAGGCTACAGTGACCTTGACCTTTGACCACCAAAATCTAATCAGTTCATCCTTTCGTCCAAGTGAACGTTTTCATCCAATCTGAAGAAATTCCCTCAGGGTGTCCTTGAGTTATTGTGTAAATAAGAATGAGACAATGAGACAAAGTCACACCAAAATCTATTTAGTTCATCACTGAGCTGAAATAGACGTTTTTGCCAAACTTGAATAAATTCCCGCAAGGAGTTTGTGAGATATTGCCTTCATGAGAACGAGATGAATGCAAGGTCACACTGATCTTGACCTTTGACCACCAGAATCTAATCAGTTCATTGTAAAGTCCAAGTGGATGCTCGTGCCAAATTTGGAAAAAATAATCCTCAAGGTATTCTTGAGATATTGCATTCATAAGAATGGGATGGATAGATAGACGAACAGATGGATGGATGGACAACCTAAAAACATAATGCCTCCGGCTACGGCTATCGCCAGTGCAGGGACATAAAAATCATCCTCAAGAAAACCTACAAAACACTCACACACACACACACACACTGACACAGACGCCCTCTGACCTTCTTGAGCTCTGTGAGGAAGTAGTCGATCATGTGTTTGACCTGCGGGGCCTTGGCTGAGAACAGGATCAGCTTCTCGTTGTTCAGGTTGAACTCCAGCATGTTCTTAGACGGAATGGACACAAACAGGATGTCCGAGTAGCTGCGCAGGAAGTGATATGCAGAGGCAGGAAGTCGACATGAAGTTAAAGAGAAGAGAGCCACGGGTCAGATCACTTGACACAGACAATTGACAAAGATCTCTTGACTTTTCCTGGTGTTTAATGTCAAGACTTCAAAAGGAGCGCAATCACATCTAGACAACTAACGGTACCTGATTTGACCTCTTTGGGGGTTTCGCTACTAAGACATGAAGGCTTTAAAAGGTTGAAATACTGATGATCTACGACTGACGTCACACACACTGTGTCCATGTGTTTACACAGACTACGAGGCTCACCTGTAAGGCCTCAGCACTCTGAAGTAGTCCGGAGCAGCAGAACTACTCCTCACCATCTTCAGCAGCTTGATGCCCTTATGAGACACAGACAGCACCTGCACTCCTGTCCCCACACTGCCCTGGAACACACACACACACACACACACACACACACACACAAACACGTGAAACTGAATACAGGCACATATGGAATTGGCCAAGTTAAACCAAGTAAAGTATGAAGTCTGTTTTGGGTTTCTCATATTCAGAGGGAGAGTTGCTGCATATTATAGGCAAGAACTCACAGAGGCTGGGAAGAGGCGGGAGAAGTAAATCTCCCATGAGTCTCTGGCCATGGCCACCACTTTCTTCTTCATGTTCTCATCATGCGTTCCTGACATCTGATCCACCTTGTTCTCAGCTGGCAAAGACACAAAGGAGTTTAACTTTTCACATTCAACATCTTCCACATACTGTAAATCAGTGGTTCCCCACGGGTGGGTCACGGGTCCATTCTGGATGGACGGATGGAAGTTTGTAAAAACACACTTTATTTTGGAGTACAGTGAATTTCTGGCACAAAGTTTTTATTTTGAATTGCCGTTTTCTGCTGTAGAGTGAGCTAATAACAGACAGCGACTTAAAGGTATAATATGTAGTTTTTCCACATAAAAATGTCTAAAAATGACTAAACCAATATTATCTATTTTGTTTAGTTGTGTACTTTGATTATCAGAAATGTTTCCAACAATTTTTTAAACCCAGATAAATATGAAATATTAATAAAAGTTACGGACCGTGTCATTAGGTCACATGTCAATGGCGACGTAACTCCAGTTACCATAGCCATTAAATGAAGGAGAAGAAGAAGAAGCAGACCGGATGAGACGTCAGAGAATGAACGTTACTGTTGCTAGGCTAAGCTAACTCGTCATGGATCATGATTATGCATTGACGGTTGCTGCACCTTCTGACACCGAAGCTGTCCCGGTAAACAAGCCAGTAAAACGGAAACGTACAGGTCAACCAAGCAATCCCAGAAGAATTTGGGATAAGAAGAGAGCTAAATCAAGGATAAATATTGGTGTGGCCTTTCCGAGATGGAGAGGGCTTCGTGAAAATCTAGGACTACAATTCGACGCCAACCTCGCGTGTGCTCTACTAGACAGGTAAGCAAACATCTGGCTGATGTTATCGAAATATTAATCATTTCCACCAGTGTATTGCAAGCACTGCTGCCCGCCGGGGCACCAGCGCTCCGGCCAGCGGCCTCCGCTGCGGAGCGGTGTGGAGTGGAGGCTGGCTAACCACAACATCTAACGATAGGTTTCTATAATGCTGAGCTGATGCTGGTAAATGAACTGCATTTATAAAAGAGACAGAGGAATAGCTAAACATAAGACGCACTGAGCAAGAGAGAGCAGCAGAGAGGGAGAAGCCATCGCTAACTGTAAAGCTAAGTAACTAGCAGTTTGCTCAAATAACTAGCAGATTGCTAACCGCTCAGCTAAAGTAAGTAGCATTTCTGAGTAGAGTGTAAATAACTGTTTATAACGGTTTCACGGAGTGAGGAACGTAAGATCTGTATCTGTTATATGACTACAACTCCCATGATCCCACACTACTTCGTGACGTCACCCAGCTCCGTCTTCTGTTATTGTTTTGGTTTGAGACCCCTAGCAGCAGAAAATTACATATTGCACGTTTAACTGAAACAGCAAACTAGCTCTATTAAACTGTGTGGACCTTGAATTAATGACTCAGGGTGCTTTCACACCTGCCCTGTTTAGTTCGGTTCAATCAAACTCAAGTTTGTTTGCCCCCTAAGTGCGGTTCATTTGGGCAGGTGTGAACACAGCAAATACACTTGGGCGTGCAACACAACAGTCGGTCTCAGTCCGGTTACAAATGAACTCTGGTGCGGTTCATTTGTGGTGAGAAGGTGTTCCGACCTGGATCTGAACCAACTGCAGTCACATGACACATTGTTTGGGTTAAACATGAGCATGTTACAGTCTTGGAGGATTATTAATGTGCACCTCCTCCTGTACTGCCTTAATATGCACATTCAGCACATCCAATGCATCAAAACATTGTTTTCTAGTTGGAGCCGCGCCTCGTTTTCAAACTGTATGGTTTTACTAAAATGAACAATGACAGCAATATAGTCCACGATGAGCAGCGCTAAAATCAACCTGCGTAGTTGTCCCTCCATTGTGACATTAGAAAGTGTCACATTTATCTTGCAAGTGTACTCTTCTTCAACGTTTGCGTTACTTCCTGGATTTTTCCCACATGGAAATTCTGACCAAACAAGAGCAGCTTTCTCACACAACACATTTGATCTGGTCCTTTTGTAAATGCTGCCGTGAGAACACGAACCAACTCTAGGCAATTATACAACTTTGTAACAAATTAGTCCCTGATTCAGACCAAAGGAGACGACTCTAGGTCTGAAAGCACCCTGAGGAGAAATCTGGACCCCGTGGCTGGACCAGTTGGGAACCACTGGTCTAGATGTAGAGGAATATACTGCCTACGGTCTACTACATAGTAAGGTCATTTAGGGATTTATGTTTTTTCATACCAAATAATGCTTTCATCTTCTGCCTCTCCTCCTGGGTGATACGGATGCAGGCCTCAGAGAAGGTGTCATGTACAACCTGCAGAAGACACTGCCAGTATTAGGAATCTGCTAAAGTGGAAATAAACTAGACTCTGCTGTGATGGAAAAGCATCAAATGAGCAAAGGAACATAATACAGAATAAACAGAGAAAGTAAATAATAAATAATGAATACATGAATCAACCTGTCTGAAGATCAGGTCTAGAACCAGTGGGTTGTTGAAGGTCTCTTTAGGATAGAAAACCTGTAAACACACAAAGATCAACAATGGAAACATTTATTTTGGTATTAAATTATAAATATGCTGATTTTTAAAAGGATTAATGTTCAGTACAATCAGAGCTACAAAGAGTGTTTTTACAGTGTATGATTGAAGTTTCAGCGTGCCACTCGTTGTAAGGCTAAATTTCAGGGCAATTGGGATTATTTTTGTTTAGTTATGTTTATGCGTGTGCGTATGTGTGTGTGTGTACTCCTGAAACGCACCTCTTTCCTCATGTAGAGTTTCCAGGGGACGTTGGAGTACGTGTAATATTCATCACTGGTTCTGCTGTGGAGTTGGGTCTGAATGATCTCCTCCTCCACTGGCAAATCTCTAGAGACTGGAAACACACACACACGCAAGGGTTTTTGACTGTGTACTTCTTATAAACTCTATTCACATGCACGTGAGAACTTTCTGTCATTGACATTAGTATGTGAAAAGGTCACCTGGAGGAGGGGCGGGGCTTATGCTGGAGCTGGTATGCCCTGCGGAGCGAGGCTTGGTGGTCTTTGAAACCTTAAGTCCTACGTCTTCTTTACGTAGGGAGGACTGAGGCTTCCTTTGAGTCTGAGACACGAAAAGGTCAGATGTTATTTTAGTGTGTGTGTGTGTGTGTGTGTGTGGTAGGTGTAGAGCTGGGTACCGGTTGTGGTGGGTTTGCCATTTGATCTTTAAGAATCTCCATAGCTTCATCATGCGGGTCTGGTTTCTTGGCAAACATCTTTCCATCACCTTTCCTACACACACACACATACACACACACACACACACACACAGATAAGTGGACAGTCAAAACACCATTATGAGTATCAATATTTCATGACTGTGTTACCTTTGAGTGGCGCTTCCTGTAGAAGTTGTTGAGTCAGCAGGCTGGTGCTGTTTGATGATGTCTTTGATGTCGTGGCTGGGATCGATTCGCTCCGTGTTACTCACAGTGGATCGGACCACGTCCTCAGGAGGGGGGCCACGTGTTGGACCTGGAATGTCACTTTCTATTAGATGATGTCCAAATGTTTAACGTTTCACACCACACAGCAAATGTGCTGAGGTTACTAAAACGTACTCATTTTTCGCTGAACACCAGCAGGCTTGTACGGCGACTCTTCACTCTCTTTGGTCTGCAGAAAAACAAGAAATGATACAGCTGAGTATGTTTTTATTACAAGACTGCTGATATATTTCTGATTTGCAGGCATGCTAGCAGATGTTCATGCATCACCACAGTACAGTGTATGTGTGTGTTTACTCACGAAGCTGGTTGTGTGAGAGCGTTGTGGCAAGTGTGTGTGATGCTGTGAGGGCGGTGACTGGGGCGCCGGGGCTACAGGGGGAAAGGAGGACAACATCTGCTGCTGGATCGCAATGGCCTGCATGGTCATCTGCTGGGCCTGCAACACACACACACACACATGCATGCACATGCTGTATTTACATGTACTATGTATTTCAAGAACAGTATACTTTTATGTTACCATGTTAGCATTTTATGTTGGATATACTGTATGACTTCATGTGGGTGGTACAAGGGGTGTGTGGTTACTAAGGTGCTAGCAAGTATTCAGGAATACTTCACCTCATAAATGACCGGACTGGGATATTGGTGAGCAGTGTAAGGAGCAACCCTCACCTATGGTCATGAGCTCTGGGTAGTAAAACATTGAAATCGTGGATACAAGTGGCCAAAATAAGTTTCCTCCGTGGGGTGGCTGGGCTCAGCCTTAGAGACAGGGTAAGGAGTTCTGACATCCGGAGGGAGCTCGGAGTAGAGCCGCTGCTCCTTTGCGTCTAAAGGGGTCAGTTGAGGTGGTTCCTCAGCTGGGTATTGAGGATGCTTCCAGTACGCCTACTGTTAGAGGTGCTCTGGGCACGTCCCACTGGTAGGAGGCCCCAGGGCAGACCCAGAACACACTCTTGTCACTCTCAAGGAGCTGGAAAGCATTGCTGGGAGAGGGACGTCTAAAATACTTTGCTTAGCCTACTGCTTCTGCGACCCGGCTTTGAAAAGGTGGTCGAAAATGGATGGATTGATGGATGGACGGGGTGAGTAATTGATATACAAATGATTATTTGGGAGTAAGGTATTCCCTTGACACTGAAGGAAAATCATATTGTATCAACAGGCCAAATAAAGTGTTACCATATATTTTCATGTATCTCAGACAAATACACCAACATTACTATCAGCGTTGTTCAGATGAAGAACACATGACAAACCAGAATGATGGCTTGCTGGTTGATGATGGCCTGTTGCTGTTGAGTCAGGACTGCCTGCTCCGATCCTACAGAAGAATAAATGTATAAACTTAGACACCATTTAGTAAAGATGATTTGTTTTAGTTAAACAGTAGAAACACACAAGGTTCACTGCAAAAGACCCAGTAGACTCCTCGGCTTGAAACGAATAACACAGAGGAAGTTTTCAACCTCAAAATCAAATGCAGGGTCTAAAAAAGTTCTATATAGTTCTATTGTAACTCCACCATGCCCACACGTTTCAGGCCAAACATGCTGGAATGCACACTTGATTATTATACCTGGCACACCTGTCATCACAGGCAAGCCTTGAACCACAGGCGTGGTAGGGATCGAGGGCACCCCAGGCACCCCGGGGACACCCGTGACATGGGATGCTACATTATCTCTAGCAGCAGCAGGGGCAGCAGTGGGGGCACGAGTGGGTGACGGGGTAGGTGCTACACGTGTTGCAGGAGTTGAAGAAGTCTGCTGGTTGTAGGGCTGTTGGGGAAGGTTGTATTGGTGGTATTGTTGTTGTTGTGGCTGCTGCTGCGGTTGTTGTTGTTGTTGTTGTTCATGGTGATGGTGGTGGGAGGGGATTGGCATGGCAGGAATCGGTGGCATCATTCCTCCTGCTACTGGAAGCACTGGCACAGCTTGAGGAGCAACCAGTCGGGGAACAGGATTAAGAGTTAGGAACAGAGCTGCTTCCAGGGCTTTATCAATCTAGATTGTTTTGGTGTGAGTTGCTGAGTGTTGGAGATATCGGCCATAGAGATGTCTGCCTTCTCTCCAATATAATGGAACTACACCTGGCAACTATATCACTACACAGTAAGAAGCGTGCATCTACTGCTAGCTCACCTAGCACCACTGTGCTAGTTAACACTGGAACTCAGCCGAAGAGGCCACCATTAATGTTTACATCTCATCCATGAGTAGATGCACTCTTCCTTCTGCTCGGTGATATGGTTGAGGGGTGCAGTTCAGTGGAAAGAAAGTAGTTCCTACAAAAACTGCTGGATTATCTAGAGTAAATCATGACTTTCTAGGAACTACACCCTCCAAACGTATCACCATGCAGAAGGAAGTGTGCATCTACTAATGGATGAGAGGCTTGTGCTTGTTACAGCGTGAGATTTATATATTAATGGTGTCCTCCTTCGCTGAGCTGTTAACATTAGCTAGCTCAGTGGTGCTAGGTGAGCTAGTAGATGCACACTTCCTTCTGCGCAGTGATTCAGTTGGCGGGTGTAGTCCTGTAGAAAGAAAATAGTTACTACATCAAACTGCTATCAACAAGGTCTTTGAATTATCTTGAGTAATTGGGTTGGGATTTCTGGAAAGTGACATTGCTGTTGAGTTTTTCAAACTCATTTTTGGTGCTTTGAGCACCACAATCTGAGTGTCACCTAATTTCATTATGTTCAAGAGAAGGCAGACATCTCTATGACCTCACACCAAAACAATCTAGATTAATAAATACCGTATCTTCAATTGCTATTTTCATCCTGGGCAGACATGGCCGGACAAGCTAATAGTCAATTCACTGATTTGCCTTGTATATATTACCTGCTAAATATCAGCATGTTAAAGTCTTGTTGAAGAACACATTTGTTTCCATGTGTTTGTTTGCTAAATATTTTCTGTATTTGTAAAAAGAATTCAACTAATGCTTTGGGTTTACATTGGCCTTGTAACAAAAAAAAAAAATATAGCTTGCTAATGACCAGACATATTGTCTTATTGTCTTGCTAAAAGGCATTTCCTTCATTCCCTTTTCTTTCTGTCACTGTCATCACTGATGTTGCTCTCTCTTGCACGTTGTCCAACTCCAGGAAGAGATGCCTTAGATTAATAATTAGTTCATCATGTTCAACATATTCAGTTAGAGTTCATCATGCTGTCTGTAGCACAGTATGATGAGCGATATAATACTTGACATTCAGAAGCTGGAAAATATTCACTGCATATCCTCCAAAGACAGAGTGGAAGGGGGGAGAAAGAAAAAGAAGTATTGTAGTAGTATGTTATATTTTTCATTTGTGAGTGCACTTTGGTACAGCCACACAGAGACACATACACAAGACATCCTATGAGTGTGTTTGATAAAGAGTAGTGTGTGTAGCGGGAGACAGAATGAGAGTGACAGAGGCCTATAGAGAGTAAAGGAGTCATCTGTGGTTACAGTGAATGGCTGTCTCTGCATTATCCATGAGGTCAGACTGATTACTCGTTACAGCCTCTAAGCGACAGATTAAGGTTGGTGAATGGTACACCTGAACCTTTACACCTCAGTCCTGTTCAGTGTCACTGAGACACTTCAGCCCTCTGTTTTAAACAGTATGGAAATAATGACAATAAAAACTATAACATGTTAAAATGCATTGAATTATTTTTTATCTCTGCATTTTTAATGTCTGCCTGTAAAGGAAGGCTGAAAACAGAGTAACCCTATCAAGAAGACATGGGGGAAAATAATTCAGTGATAAAATGCCCAATTCACAATGTGAAAATGTGTCAAACCACCTTTTCTACTTCTTGTTCTACATATTGGCATGACACATATCTTAAACCTACAGACCTTACATGCTGGAGAAACTGTGGAGATGTTAAGTGAAATATCACAAACAGAATCGGGACAAGGGACAACCCTGGCAGAGGCCAACACCCACCGCCGGAAGGAGGAAGGGGTTCAGTTTGGTGACCTCAAAATTGCATCTTTGCTTTATGCAGATGATGTGGTTCTGTTGGCTTATCGCACTGGGGCAGTTTGCAGCCTAGTGTGAAGCGATCAGAGTCAGCAACTCCAAGTTTGAGGCCATGGTTTTCTATTGAAAACTGGTGGATTGCCTCCTCTGGGGGTCTTGTTCACGAGTGACGGTAGAATGGAGCGTGAGATAGATCAGGAGTTTGGCGTGGCATCTGGAGTGATGCAGGTGCTGTGCCGGACTATCATAGTGAAGAGAAAGCTGAGCTGGAAGGCAAAGCTTTCTATTTCCTGGTCCATCTACTTCCCAACCCTCACCTGTGGTCATGAGTTCTGGGTAGTGACTGAAAGAATGAGGTTGCAGATACAAGTGGCTGAAATGAGTTTCCGCCGAAGGTTGGCTGGGCTCAGCCTTAGAGATAGGGTAAGGAGCTCGGACATCTGGAGGGAGCTCGGAGTAGAGCCGCTGCTCCTTCATGTCAAAAGTGGTCAGTTGAGGTATTTCGGGCATCTGATCAGGATGCCTCCTGGCGCCTCCCTTTAGAGGTATTCTGGGCACATCCAACTGGTAGGAGGCCTCGAAGCAGACCCAGAACACACTGGAGAGATTACATATCTTGTCTGGCCAAATCCTTCTGACACAATGTTAGGCAATCTGTCACCATTAATTTGCTCCACAAGGTCCCCATTTGAGGTCCCCAAATCAATGTCACATTAAGAGACATATCACACAGAAGGGAGTCAGTTAGTTTATGAAATTGTGAAGCCTTGTGGTTTTCCAGTGGCACTTTGAGATAGTTAATAATTATGTCAGCTTATAGCTTATCAGCTATACTGTAGGACTTTGACATAATACAACTTCTTATCTGTAAGTACTTTCAAAAATGTCTTTTTCCTACCAAATTAAATCGCTCAACTGGTTTACTGTATGAAAGAAACAATCCATCCTCAAATAAATCACCAATGGTACATCCAACTATTAATTAACCTGAGACTAATGCTGAGGATCTAGAACTTAGAGTAAGCTGAATTATTGATGTCAGTAGAGAGCGAAAGACTAAGAAAGGCTTTAGCAGCAGGACCAAAGAAGGACTTGAAATTAAAAACCAAAAAATTAAAAGAGTAAGAAAACAGTTGGGTCTGTTACAATCTGCACTAACATTAGACGTAACTAACAAGAAACAAACACTAACTTAAGTGTTTTACCTCCGGGATGTATTCCTGGTGGATACGGCCGACTGGGGGCCGTGTGATTCTCCCCCTCTCCTCTTCCTCCTCCCGTGATGCCGATACCTCCTCCTCCCTTCATCCTCGCTGACAAACTTCCAGTCTTTTCCATGTCCTGGTGGTCAGAGAGAAGCAGGCGACAGAGATGCAGCAGATATAAGCAGATGGTTGGAGATGCTGAGAAAGTGGAGTTTGAGAGACATTAAGGGTTAGAAATGTTAGTCAAAGGAGAGACTAAAGGGAACAAGATGGAGGGAGTGTGTTGTAGTGGTTGATTCAGACCCTCTGTGAGTGAGTCAGTGGAGCTGGAGGAACTGAATACTCTGCAGGAAGTACCGTACACACTGGAGGAGACGCTCTAGCTCATACTAAAGTCACAGAGACTGAAAAAGGTAGTGCGAGTCTACAACTTAATTTTCTGCAACATAATAAACCCCACTGTCTCAGCACAACAAAACAAATTGCTTTTTCTGAGAGTAAAGGCAAAAGAAGAACACACTGTTTGATCGACAGCTGATATTGAAACCGAACACTTAATACAAGGGATCAAAGGACACTATTCTCACAGTGGATGCTAAGGAAACACAAATGGCTATTATGCTGTCTGATTGACAAAGTGTCTACCCCTAAACGTACCTGCACCGACCCACTTCCTTCCTGCTTCCTCCAAACAACGCAGCCTTTTCCCTTTTTTGGTTTAATCAAACACACAGAATGTGTAGCTGCTAACAGACCAGTATTCCCCACGGAGCCGTTCATGTGTGCTGCCTGCTGTTGCGGTCAAATACGGTAGGTCACTCAGTAACCTAATCACCCCTCCTGTCTGCTCCATTCATACACAAACAGAAGCAGTGGATCACATGTTCCATCCGTCCATCAACACTCCACCTCCATTCACACTCAGATGCCAGATCAGGTGGACGGAGCATGACGTGACAGGTTTTTTAACGCATTTTCATAGCTGCAGCTAAAAAGAATTCCCTTTATGTATTAATTGGTTTGTTTTCTGCAGCTTCTGCTAAATTAGTAACAGTTCTGAAGTCAGAAATTCACTGATGACTCTCAGTCAAATCAAACAGACCTATAAAGTCCCTTGTGTTTCAATCTATACACCACTTTGCCACAATCATGCCTAAACCCTTGCACTGCTGGACAGCACATTTGCTATACAGGGTCTAAAAGGGCTCAAGTGTATAAAGGACTTCTATTCAGACATAAAGTTTGCCTCCTTTGGTGAACTAAGTCTAAAGAACAATGTACGTCACTTGTGAGAAGTGGAAGAAGTTGAAATTTGTAAATTCTTTTAAAGGTGCAGACACACCAAACCGACATCAAAGAACTAGCGGCGACGAAAGCCAACTGTTGCGTTGTCTATGTCGCCTCACGTCGCCCTGTGTCAGTTGCATTTGAACACACTACACAGACTACATCCGACGGCCAAGTGGCACGTACGTTCTGCGCCTGCGTGAGAGGGAGCGGAGTGACAGAGTGGTACATCCTGACAGCCGAGGGGTTTCCTATCTGTGCAGCCGAGCACCGAGCTCCCTCCGTCATGCTGCGCTAGCCGCTCCCAGCTAGCCCCGGCTCTCCCTTTGTATTCAAATGGAGGGTCGGGGGTAGCTGGGAAGCTAGCGGAGGCTAACTGGCTGTGCTTCCCAGCTAGCTCCAGTTTCTTATTCAGGTTAAAGTGTGAAGAAGCAGTGGGTCTGTCAGGCAGCTGAGTGAAGTGGAGCCTGAGGAGGAAGCACCGGTTAGTCCCGGTTTCACTAGTAAGGCAGATTCACTCGCTACAGGGGCGAGGGAATAAAACCTAAACAGCCAATCAGAGTGATCTCTTTCACCGACTAGCTCCGCCGCCGATTCAACATGCTCAATCGGCCGAAAAGCCACCAACACCGCCGAAGCTGAAGGGCCGACGGTGCGAGACACACCGCAAAAACTAGGCTAACAGACGCTCACTGACGGCCGACTTTGGTCGACGGCCTACCGTCAGCTTGGTGTGTCAGGGCCTTAAGGGGCTTGATCCTGACAACTGTAGGTGTTCAATAAACAGTAGACACAGGTTAATCCAGCTCAAAGGGATTCATTGTTTTTATTATTCTAAAGTCATGCTACACTAATCTATCTATCTCTATCTTTTTTCTTCTTTTCTGGCCGCACTCTTCTGACAGGGACTTGGCTTTTTTTTGGTGTTCGAAGGACTCTTAGAAAGACAGCTCTTTGGATGGGCATGGTGTTGGCCAAAAAAATAATTTTAAAAGACTGGAAGACTATCATCATAGCTATCATACTTCGGAAACTGGCTGAGTGAACTTGTTACGGTTATTCACGTGGAAAAACTGTGATTTATCATCCAAAATGTGAATATAAATGGAAAGTATCTTGGGGTTCACTTTTGCAATATCGGGATTCAACAAGTGCATCTGGATATACATACTAACTGGATGTTTTCCCTTTATCCTTTACGGTTTTCTTGTTCCTGCGTAGTCAGTTCAATTCAGTTTTATTTATAAAGCCCAATATCACAATCAAAATTTGCCTCACAGGGCTTTACAGCATACGACATCTCTCTGTCCTTGGACCCTCACAGCGGATAAGGAAAAAGTCCCCCAAAAAAACCTTTAAAAAGGAAAAAAAAACTTGTAGTCTCGTCCGTGATGGGCTGTGTCTGATAGTCATACACGGCTGATATGTATTGCTATGTGATTTTGTGTTATTAACTCTTGATTATGTTGAACTGAAGTGTCAAGATTCCTCTTCCATGTTTGTTTTGGTTGGGGATTTTTGTTGGGGTTTATATGTTCATGTTGAAATACACTATTGTCAATAAAAATAATATTTAAAAAAACGTTTGTTTTCCACTTAACTGACGAATTGATCAGCCGAAAAAATGTCATAAAAGGGTGAAAAATGCACATCAAATGTCACCAGAGCCAACGACAATGTGAACCACAACAAAGTAAATTCAGTCCATACGCCTGCAATGTTTTACAGTGTATTTGAAGGTTAGACTATTAACTAATTAATAACACAGCACTAATATACTTCCCAAGCAGGAGTAAGAGTGTAGTTAGGATGTGATGTGTCTCGTCAGTACTCACCATGCTGCTGTCTGACAGCACAGGGTCAAACAGACTGTCCAGGTAGCGGTCCATTCCTCTCTGAGTCTGACCGTCACTGAATGCATCCGACTCTACTGGACACACACAGATAGCAGAGCAGCTGTTAACATGACTGTCACACTGCAGTGCTTTTAATAATCAGAAACCGTGTGTGTGTGTGTGTGTGTGTGTGTGTGTGTACCGTGGCTGAAGTAACCGTCAGAGTCAGGCAAACTGTATGCCGGTCTGCTGTTACGGAGAAGAAAGGCAGAAGGAAGCTCCTCATCTGACTCAAAGCCACTGCCAAACAGAGCACTGACAGGAGAGGAGAGGAGAGGAGAGGAGAGGAGAGGAAAATTGAGAAGAGTTTAATAATGTTTTTGGCATATTTATCTCCATTTCCATTATCTGTACATGCATGTAGTATCTGTGAGTGTTTCGTGTACTGACAGGCTGGCGTTAGCTCGGACTCTGGCGGGGTCGTCAGTGCTGATGATGAAGTAACTCTTCTGCTTTGGGAAGTCTGGTGGAAGCTCCAGGTCTGCGATCAGGTCCATGACATAGTCGTGACCCGCTAACTCCACCCACTGGCCGTGCTCCTTCATCAGAATCGAGCTCCCCCTCCACCAGTCGGACACTCCCCTGCAAGATCACACGCTTCAAATACCCACCTGTACCTGATCATACTGCACTCAAAGCATGTGTACTGTGGTGAAATACATTTTTATAAAGTTTGCAAATACAAATGAGACATATAGGTTTGAGCTGAAAGACTAAGGAAAACCTCACCTGTGGCGCAGTATGTCTCCTGCTAAATCTTCTCCACTGGTCCAGGAATGGACCGGACACAGGAACGATCCTCCTGCAGAGACAACAAATGAAGAACACTGTATAAAAATGAAATAAATTGCACGATTCACAGATGGAGAGCTCTGTAGCTCATCACCTGATCCTGACTGGCAATGAATAATCAATGATCGAGGGCTGTAACTGATCCCTCTCTATATAAATGATGCCAACAGTCTCTGCCACGCACTTCTTGTTTTTCTTTGAGGTGTGTAATCAGTTAATCTGTAGGTGAGAAAAACTACTCACATGACATTACTTGTTTTTAACTTATTCTATTTTATTTCGTTGTCCAACTGAATGTAAAGAGGAAAATCTTAAATTGAAGCTGCTGCCTCGGATCTGTTTGTGGCATTCTGGCATCATATGTAATGTAAAAAAGAAAAAGACAAGATGCATCTTACCATCAAAACTATGCACGTGCAGCACCGTGTTAGCCTTCTTCCTGTTGGCCGTCCACTCCAGTAGTGACAGCGGATAGGTCCGTGCAGTCTCGGGGGTGGGGCCTGAACCTAGTTGTGACTTCTGATTGGCCTGGATGAGTCTGTGTTGCAGCAACGCCTGGCAACCAGCAGGGGCGTGGTCAGATACAAACCTGATGAGGAAAAGGGGCACCCAAGGTTATACTTTTTATTTATCGAAAGAAAAACGGCACTCAAATTAAATGTACCAAGCACTGTAATGGATTGTGATAAATTTCATTCATTGTCAGATTTTTTCCCATAATGGAGGCATAAAGGTAAAAATAAGAAAAAGTTACAGAGTGACAAAGTTGAGGAGGTGTCCTTAAGTTTGATTTTTGTGCCACATGCCACTACATGACTTTTAAAAATGGGTTTTCACTCTTACCTTAAAATTATTCCAGTAAATAATACAATTGTTTTTCTTTTGGGTATATTTGTTTCTTTAATTTACATGTACATTCACCGGCCACTTTATTAAGTACACCTTGCTAGTATCAGTTGCCTTCAGAGCTGCCTTAATTCTTGGTGTCATAGATTCAACAAGGTGCTGGAAACATTCCTCAGAGACTTTGGTCCATATTGACATGATGACATCACACAGTTGCTGCAGATTTGTCGGCTGCACATCCATGATGAGAATCTCCCGTTCCACCACATCCCAAAGGTGCTCTATTGGACTGAGATCTGGTGACTGTGGAGGCCATTGGAGTACAGTGAACTCATTGTCATGTTTGAGATGATGTGAGCTTTGTGACATGGTGCTTTATCCTGCTGGAAGTAGCCATCAGAAGATGGGTACACTGTGGTCATAAAGGGATGGACACGTTCAGCAACAATACTCAGGTAGGCTGTGGTGTTTAAACCATGCTCAGTTGGTACTAAGAAAATCTCCCCCACACCATTACACCACCAGCAGCAGCCTGAACCGTTGATACAAGGCAGGATGGATCCATGACGCCAAATTCTGACCCTACCATCTGAATGTGGCAGCAGAAATCCAGACTCATCAGACCAGGCAACGATTTTCCAATCTTCTATTGTCCAGTTTTGGTGAGCCTGTGTGAACTGTAGCCTCAGTTTCCTGTTGTTAGCTGACAGGAGCGGCACCTGGTGTGGTCTTCTGCTGCTGTAGCCCATCTGCTTCAAGGTTGGACGTGTTGAGATGCTCAGTTTGAACTTCAGCAGGTCGTCTTGACCATGTCTACATACCTAAATGCACTGAGTTGCTGCCACATGACTGATGGCTGATTAGTCGTTTGCATTAATGAGCAGTTAAACAGGTGTATCTAATAAAGTGGAGTGCATTACATTTCGACCTAACCCCCATCTGCATCTGAAATTTGCTTGTGAGGGATTTCCATCAATATAAATTAGACACGTCTTACTTCAGCAGGTATTTGTCCATCTTGGGCGACGGGGCGAAGCAGCAGACACACGCCAGCAGCAGCAGCCAGCCTCTCTCAGCATTGTCAACGTTTATGTTCCTCCACACCTGGTTGACGACCTGAGCCAGGATCTCGTCCTGTAACCCTGGCGACGACAGGCCCCTTTGGATGATGTAATTCCCAAACATGTTTTCCTGCGCCCCGTTCAGGTGAGGGTCGCCCATGAATCGTAATACCTGAAAGCAGAATACATGCACAAACAGTTACAACTAACTCTGATGTACTGGGCCACTGTTATGTTTAAAAAGTTGTTTCATAGAGCAACAACTGCACAGCAGCAGGGACGAGATGATGAATCTAAAGACTGTCCCTGGTGTGTGTGAGACAGTAAATGGAGTCAGCCCACCATGATGAAGAGCTCCAGAGCTTCTCCTCTCAGGTCCTCATCCACACGGGTCAGCGGTGACTCCAGAGGGGCCGTCAACATCCCAAACTTTGGCTCCTACAGCAACAAAATACTTCAAATGATTTATGGAAGCACAATAACTCAACACATTGTTCATGTTAACTACATAATTTTTAAAACATATCAACAACAGCATCCACTAGAACAGCAGTGTAGAGGGGCGAATCCAGAAACAGTCCTTCGTGACTACTTTCAGAAAGGTTAAAAATAAAATAAAAAACTAATGTGGGCAAATTCACATAGAATGGATTGCGGCCCATCTTAAGGTTAGACGTCTCACCCTGAAGTAGATCTGCACGTAGCGGTAGAACGGGTAGTTGTTGATGTCCAGAGGCAGCGTGAGTTGAGCCTCTTCTTGAATATGAGGAGCTTGAAGCAGAGCCAGACAGTCTGAGTGCAGCTCCCTCCTGACTAGAAAGAGATGAAAGATGACGGCAAATAATAAGTCAACTGGCGTACATATACTGTGGAAGCATGGAGTCATTTAAAGTATGTTTCAACACGAAGACTACCACAAACTTTGGGTTAATCAACTACACTTAAGAATGTATACTGTGCTACTTTCTGATGATATTTAGGGTATGAAGTTGAAAATCTTTTTTAAAGATTGTAATTTTCCCTCCTGGTTTATTTATGAACTGATGGCCCTGCTGTCCCTCTGTCAGGACTGTTCACGTCACTCCTGGAGCGACACTGTCAGTGCTGATGAGATGAGACACATTCAGAGAGCTGAACGACGCACTCTGCTATTTGGTACATGAATAATATGTGTGAGCACTCTGATGTGGACTTCACTAACAGGAAGACAGGCATTAACAGACCTCCTGCTGTCTGCAGTAACGCGCCCAGCTCTGCAGGGATCACCAAGTGTGTGACATTCACCACCTCCCTCTTGGTCAGCTCCTGAAACAGTTATTGATTTTAATGTTTATTTAATGATTGACTGCCAAAGTGTGTCTATCTTGTAGGACAGATCTGTATATCCTGTTTAAACTTCCATCTCACCATCTCTCTTCTCCTTCTCTCCTCTTCAACTTTCCTCTGAGCTTCAAACTTCCTCTGCAAACAGATCACAGAAATCACACACTGAGCATGCCCACTTCAATCCAGAGTGAGGTGCATTAAAATGGAAGAAAATTAGGAAATACTTATTAACAGTATATGCATAAGTGATTTATGTGGGTCCTTTGACAGCAGACTTCATGTACCTTGATGTATTGCTTGCGGTTGACGTACATGTGGATGAGAGAGCGGAACCGAACTAGACTCTCCCTCATTTTCACATAGCGCCTCCTGGAGGACAGAATGAAAAACTGGGGTAAGAACATTAACACATCTCGTACCTAATGTCATGTTTATATCCAAACTTTTGTTACACATCTTACTATATAATGACAAAAACTGTCTGTCTGTGTATCTGTTCCACGTTTTCCTCCTCACTGACTTGGTCAATCCATGTGAAATTTGGCACAGTGGTAGAGGGTCATGGGAGGATGCGAATGAAGCAATATTACATCAATTGGCCAAAGGGGGGCGCTATAGCAACCGATTGAAATTGCAAACTTTGAATGGGCATATCTCATGCCCCATATGTCGTAGAGACATGAAACTTTGCACAGAGATGCCTCTCCTCATGAGGAACACATTTGCCTCAAGAACCCATAACTTCCGGTTGTATAGATTTTCCGCCATTTTGAATTTTTTGAAAAACACTTCAAATCGATCTCTTCCTAGGAAGTTTGAGCGATCTGCATGAAACTGGGTGAACATAATCTAGGGACCAATATCTAAAGTTCCCTCTTGGCAAAAGTTGGAAAACTTACTAAAACTAAGCTTCTATAAGGCAATGAATATTGCGGAGGGCGTGGCTCATCACATAAAGCTGTATAACATCTCAAGGGTTTCACTGATCACCACGCAACTTTGTAGGCATATGACCACACATAATCTGAGGGGACCCCTCCATTATTGACCCCATCAAACAAAATGGGGGCGCTAGAGAGCTAATTTCTTATCTAGGCCTAACCGCCATATGGATTTTTACTAAACTTGGTAGATATGTAGAACAGGACGCCTCAAGGTGACTGGAGAAATTTAACTCTAATTGGCAACTGGGTGGCGCTATAACAACAGAAAAATGCTTACAAATGGCTAAAATGCGACCGATCGCTGTGGCTCCCCCTGTGGACCAATGTTTGTTTGTTTTCTAATTTTTGGATTGACTAAGTCATGGTATGGTATGCTGTACTCAATGGGTATGGACTAGTACTGTAATTAGAAAGAGGAAAATGCTGCAAAAGCTTTGCTACAGAAGTCATAGTTATAATGTGTTTTGGATAATTACTGTAAAACTTCAATTAAAAGCCTGGTCCCAACTAAATGCCTAGTCTCTTTTACTTGCCCAGTATGGCTTCACATTTTGACAAATAACCACCTGTCTTAACTGACGCTTGGGGCTGTATTCACAAACATTCTTAGAACATCCTCAGAGAGCTCCGAACTCTGCCTAAAACTTATAGTAAAGAGTCTTAGTTTAAGAGTGATTTAGGAAGGTTTTCAGAGCAACTCTGAGCAAGGAAGGGACAGAAACTTTTTCCTTAGTGAGGAGGTGTGTTTGAACCAGTTGCTAAGTACAACACTTTCTTTTCACAGACATGATTGTGATTGCTGTTGATACAGTAGTTATGAAAATAGCAGTAGCAGTGAAGCTGACCTCATGAGGAAGCCTCGGCACTGTGCCTGCAGCGCGATGATCTTCTTGCGGAAGGCCACGAAGCGTTTCCTGACGAAGAACATGCGGGTGTAACGCTGCAGGGTGAGGGCGGCGAGCTGACGGGCGCGCTCCCGTTTACACTCCAACAGCTGGTAGACGTCCTCCTTCAGAAACAGCTGCCATTCATACACACAAACATGTCTTTAGCTTGTGCTGCTGGTCTTTTTGTGAAAGGATGAGCGTGAATAAATGAGAGAGGAGCCTCACCTTTGTGACCCCAACGTGGTAGGATCCTGGTCTGAGAAGACACAGCTTACTGAGCATGATCACACAGTTCTCTCCACTCGCAGCTGGAGGCTCATGTATCCCCACCAGAGACTTATACCTGAGGAGGGCACACATCCACATGCATGTACACACACACATACACAGGCTTATCCAACAACTCTCCACTGACTGATGCAACAGGTGACACTCTTTTCTACATCTCCTCAGACATGTAAGGTATCACTTCCCATGCTAAAGACCCAGTGCTTCTCCACCATAGTGCCTCACACCATCCATTAATTAAAGAGAGTTCACTCCAAAATCAAAAACACACATTTTTCCTCATACCTGTAGTGCTATTTATCAATGTCAATTGTTTTGGTGTGAGCTGCAGAGTGTCGGAGATATCAGCCGTAGAGATGTCTGCCTTCTCTCCAATATAATGGAACTAGATGGCACTCAGCTTGTGGTGCTCAAGTGATAAAAATACATTTAAAAAACTAAACAGCAATGTCTCTTTCCAGAAATCATGACCTGGTTACTCAAGATAATCTACAGACCTTGTTGTGAGCAGTTTCATGTAGGAACTATTTTCTTTCTACCGAGCTACACCTCTAACTGTACAGTAAAGAAGGGAGTGTGCATCTACACATGGATGAGGAGCTCATGCTCGTGGCAGCACCAGATGCAAATATTCATAGCGTCCTCCTCGGCTAAGTTGTAACATTAGCTACCTCAGTGGTGCTAGGTCAGGGATGGGCAACCTTTACTATCAAAAGAGCCAATAATAATAATTTTAAAAATCTGCGTGGAGCTGCAAAACATACTTGAGCCTTATAATAAAGATAATGTAACCTTTTACGTTTAAATTAGCCTATAATTATAGTCTCAGTGCACATGCTGTGTCTTTAACCGCCTGGAAAACACGAGGTTGGGCGCTGGGTGCTACTTTTGTGCCTTTTTTGAGCCAGCTTTCAAGAGCGCGGTGGCAGGTTGTGTCTGAGGTTACTAAGCAACCTTAACAAGTACTGTATCATAGCCTATTTATGTGAAATCCTGAGTGCAGAGCTAATCTTCTTCCAGGTGCTGTTTATAAGCGTGTAGGCCTATCGTCTGTGGGACAGATGTAAAGCTCTGGGTAGCCAACTACAACTTTTCCGTATTTATCAGACTGATATCTACATAAGAAGGCTGTGATTGGTTGGTTAGTTAGTTGGTTTCTCGGGGCATAGCTGTCGCGCCCTGAAAAATAGGCACTCTGGCGTCGCTCTGGTGTTTGAGTGTGTCTGCCACGCATCCTCATTGAAAACAATGAATTAGAGCATGCAAAAAACACAGCATGTGTACAGCCCCCTAATTAGCATTCATTAATAGGTTTTACCACAAGGTGGCTACTGTGCAGGGTGATATTTATGATTATTTTGTACTATGATTATTTAGTACACTTTACTTTGCAGAACTAGTCGTAAAAGCAAACAAATCTGTCCATGCCCCACTAAATTCTCTATTTTATTCCAAGACTTTAGCTAGCCAGTGAGAGAGACTCAAGACGAGCCACTGCTATCGAGGTTTGGCAAAATTTAGAGGAAAAAGGTGCCAGGCAGTAGATAATACATCTGCATAATAATGTGCCTTTTAGTTGTTGAAATGTTAAAACTTTTTTTCTTTTTTTTTTACTCGGTATCTAGGATTCACATTTGTACAATTAGAGAATGAAAGAATTTCTTTGCGCTTACAACATTCATGACTGATAATTAGGATGTTAAAAAAATAGCCATCAGTCATTTCCATATAATTTTTTTGTCAAAGCCACAGAGAGCCACTGGAGAGGGGCAAAAGATCCACAGATTACCTCCCCCTGTGCTAGGTGAACTAGCAGTGGATGCACACTTCCTTCTGCACAGTGATACCTTTGGTGGGTATACTTTGGCAGAAAGAAAATAGTTCCTATATGAAACTGCTTAGCGCTTTAAGCACCACATGTCAAGTGGAGAAAAGACAAATATTTCTACAACACTGATATCTCCAACACTCTACAACTCACACCAAAACAATCTAGACTGACAAACAGCACTACAGGCAAGAGGGGAAATATGTATTATTGATTTTGGGTGAAACTGTCCCTTTAACACTGCGTGTATGTTACCTGAACAGGAAGACGTAGAATGGCATTCTGACAGGATATCCCTCCCTACGGATCCTGATGGTCTCTAGAACACCTGAGTGTCTCAGCTGGTTGCTGACCAGCTCGTCCTCAAACACACCTGGTTGCTACACACACATGTGAACACATTTGGAAAACAGCGACTGTCATTTTCTACAGGATACAGTCAGACTGAACTCGTATGAAAATGATCCGTGTCATCAGTAGAAATACAGAAAATCTACCTTCATATTATTTGGCTTAATGCAGCGAACAAAAAACGGGTTGCACCTGAAATAGAAGGAATAAAGTAAACAAGTAAATAACATCTCCTGCTTATTATTTACTGTGTAAAATCTTTATTCTTTATTCACCTCTCCATCTTCTCCACCAGCTCCAGCAGGGACTGTTGGAACTTGCTGCTGACGGTTGGAGCTTGGTACTTCCTGGTGACTGTGCTGCTCTTCCTCATGTGACCTCCTCTCTGCTGACCTGTGACCTCTGCGTGAACCAGGAAGAGGTTTGACACCATCTGGACACACACAAACACACACACATACATTCACAACATTCACACATGAAACAGAGCAGGTCTTCGAGGGGAACGTGAGCATGCATGCAGGTGTTGATGTGAAGACGCTCGTCTCCTCTCACCTTGTTCTTGCTCTGAATGAACAGGTCCAGGACATCCTGACGGACCTGGTCGTAGTTCTTATCGAGGAACTTGTAAACCTGAATCATTGATATCAAAATCAAAATGTCTGCTGCTGCACCACTTCAGTGACTTTTGCTGTTGTGCCACAAGTTTGACATTTGTTGTTTTGTGATATGTGTGATATATTCACATGTATCAACTCGAAGGACCTGAAACTGTGCAAAGAATCAGTCTGCCCTTCACTATTACTTAAAGCCATGCTGCTACAATACCTAAAAACAGAAGTATACTCCTGGTACAGATCAGAATTTATCAATAATGTTTTTGATGTCATTGAGTAAAACACAGGTTTTGTCACTTGAGATGAACCAGTGAGGAGCTTCATACCTGGTAGGTGACCCTGCCAGCAAAGTGCTTGATGGTGAACTCTGGGTGTGGCATCTTTGGCTTCATATACAGTGGGTTGTTGCCATGGTGATAGTGACACTTTTGGAGGAACGTGTGGTCTGTCGCCTGGCAACAAAGCAGCAGACTGTAAGTGATGTGCAATAATCAATCGATCAATCTGTGGGTGGAGCAGGTGTTCTCTTTAGATCTCTCCTGCCCCACCTGTGGGAAACCACACTGGTCGTCCAGGATCCTCAGTATCCCATGAGGCTTAGCGGCAATGAGGTCAATGCAGGGCTGGTTGTCACTGAATGGGATGTCCTGCCAGGGGATCTGTTCCCGGCTGTATTCCTCCTGCATGGGGATCACACGTAGGAGTGTTTCTGTCAATCAACCTATCAATTAATTTACTAATACTTCCAACATTAGAAGAGATCTGTGTGTGTGTGTGTGTGTGTGTGAGAATGTCCCTGCAGGTGTGACGTCGACTCACCTGTTCTTCCCTGAACACGATCCTGTTGAAGAAGAACTGCAGGTACTCGTTTGCATAATTAATGCAAAGCTGCTCAAAGCTGTTGAAGGCCAGATCCTGTTGTTCCCACACACACACACACACACACACACACACACACACACACTTGGAGTCCTTCTGCTTTGCAACACAAGAAAGTGACAGACAGGTGATAAGATGGTGTTGTACCTCAAATCCGTAAATGTCCAGGATGGAGATGGAGAGCGTGTGTTGGCGGGGATACACCTGAGCGTTGATCCTCTCTGTTAACCAATGGAAGAGCAGCGAGTACAGTATCTTGGCAACAGCATCTCTGGAGAACAAAGATTTGTGTGTGAAAGACAGACATAGCAGGGGGCAGGAATACTGTCTAGAAATTAGGAAGAGAAAGTAGGACGGCAAATTAGGGCCACTGTATGTAAAATAAACCAATAAAACAAAATTTAAAAAACACAGAGCCGAAGTAGGGGGATGATATTTTATGAAAAAAAAAATCATTTTGCAAGATCATGAGAAAAAACTTGAATATTCTTTGAGATTATAAAGTGCCAAATTTACATGAAAAAAACTCAAATTGTGTTTCATTTTATTTTATTTTGTTTTGTCAACTAACCATATTGCTTCACTTTGCAAGGCTAGATCAACCTCAGCACACAGCAGACGACACTGGTAAACAGGGAATCCAGCAAACACTGAGATGACCTTCATTTAAACGTCCAATCATGTCATCCAGTTATAGCTCAAAAATACTTCCAAAATGATTGTTGAGCATCTGGGACGTTACCTGGCCATTGACTGGACGTCCTTCCTGGGCGTCCAACAACATCAAAATATGACTGTGAACAGGTCTATTCAGCTATTCTGCTAAAATGTATGTGCACAGTGTGCATTCATCAGCTTTATACACCCTAAAAACTGAAAAATACTAAGTATACCTTGACTTACACGGGACACAAACCCTTGGTATCCTGGGTGAAAGTCCTGAGCTTGATCCATTTATCAACCACAACTTCTTTCTTATATGTAATCACTTACACACACTTTTTTTTATGACATCGCATGACTTTCTGGCAGAAAATCCAACAAATTGAAGTTGTATGGTACATTACTTTTCCCTGCCCCTTCTCTCTCACCTGGCATCGACAGCACTTTCAACAGTCAGTGGGGTGTAGATCTTGTCCCTCATTGTCTCCTGTAAAGAAGACAGAAGGTAAAAATCACAACCTCCTCATGGCAGCTGACTCCGGACTCTTAACCATTCTCATCCTACTTGAGCTGTGTGCGGCCTTTGACATAATTTCTCACAACATCCTCCTTAACAGACTGACCTCCATTGGAATCACTGGCACACCCCTTGGCTGGTTTAAATCCCATCTCTCTGACCATACTCAATTTATCCAGCTCTAAACATTCAAATCCCAGCCATTCCCAGTTACTACCGGTGTTCCTCAAGGTTCTGTCTTGGGCCCCCTTCTGTTTATCATCTACTTACTTCCTCTTGGCTACATCTTCTGTAAATTTAACATCCACTTCCATCGCTATGCGGATGACACCCAGCTCTATCTGTCCACCATACCTACCTCCACCCCAGCCTATTCAGTATGACTCCCGTCCATCAAGCCACACACATCCACTTTTTACACAGAATTTTATTCACTGAAAATTTGCTTTGCTGAATATTTATTGGTTGTTTTGTTATTATTATTTTTTTATTTAGTTATTTATTTTATGTTACTTTTTTCCTTATCACGCTGACTTTTTAAATCTGCTGTTATTTTTTCTGTCTTTGCCTGTAAGGTGACCTTGAGTGTTGTAATAGGTGCCTATAAATAAAATGTATTATTCAATATTATTATCATTATCAAAGTCTACATCTGCTAAAATGTCTTTTTTTCCTTTTTGTTTTTTATGAGCTTCTCTCCTGCATTTGTTCCCAGAGACCTCCTTCACCTCCTCAGACACTTTTATTTCAAACGTTTTATCCCTTCAACTTTACATTAGAAATGTTTAAAGGCCCTTCACACTCATTAGTTTGTCGACTCCACTCACACTCTTACTCATGTTGCCAGATTAGACCTCTTACTGAGAATGTGGCTGTGTCTGAAGTCATATATACAGTGAAAACCTCAACACCACGCTGCTAAAGGCTTTTTTGTTTGTCCTAACTTTTACAAACTACACCACGCTTTCATCCTCTCTTCACTTATTACTTTTCTTCCACTTTTTACCTTCGACTCCACTGCCGTTTCAGTCCTACTGGACCTTCGTCAAGAGTGTTAAACTTGCTTAATTCGTTAAACACTCTTGACAAAGGTCCAGGAGGACCAAAACATTACTGTTACTAATAAATTGTGAAGCTGAGCAAGAGCAGTGTGCAGGATTATCTGTTCCAAGACTCCTGTGATATTTTCCAAAGAACCTGCACCTGAGACAGTTGGATGTGCTAATATCTTTCTCCAAACTAATCTCCACTTGGCCAAACATCATCTCTGCTTCCCTTCCTCTCGACTCCCCCACTTGTATTTCTTCCACTCTCTTATTCATTGACGTGAGTGTCTGGGACTCGGGGTCTGATCAGATAAAGAATGCTCTGAGACTTGAGACCTTCTCTTACTTAAATGCACTAGATCATCACACACACACACACACACGCACACACACACCTCATCCGGCCAAAGGAAATGAGTGGATACGACCGACTCCTCTCCTGTTACATAGAAACCATAGGAACCACCATGGTGATTAGAGATTCAATTATACCAAAAGCCTTAGCGTATAAGAGCGTGCATGTGTGGAGGACATAAGGTGCGCCATGATCACATGTACATTTAATGTATTCCTGTCTCCCTCCTTCTTCCTCCCTCATCACCCTCGTCCCTCGTCAGAAGCATCATGAGACCGTCAGCACGACTGGATTCTGCTCCTTCTTTTAAACTGGACGCTCATACAGGATGTTTTATGGTCAGATACTGGAATATGACAGGATGAGGATCAAAAACAGACGAATTTGGGTGAAGGAAGGAGATTTTTTTCTCTGATTTCTTTTATTCTTTCTTGCTGATCTTTTGACACTTTCTTTGGAGTTTTTTGATTGATCCACTTATGCCAGCAGGGTAGTTCCTGTTTAACCTGCATCTCACAGGGCCGGAATGGCTCCTTGGATACCACCAGCAAACTTTGCCAGAAACAGAGGAGTACAACATGACAGTTTATTTTCTTTATTTGTCCTCTAAAGATTTTTGGATGTGTGAGTGCTCTCACGAGACAAAATCCAGAGCAAGCCAGATATCTTCAAAAGGTTTTCTTTTTTATCATTATTATTATTGCTGATCCGTGGTGTTTTCAAATGAGTTCCTGAGATCTCAAAACAACTTGTGAGTCCTCGCCTCACACTTATATGTGAAGTCAATGAATTTCTACTCCTGCCTGGTCACACACACTGGAGGAGATTCAGTATAAAGACAATGAGTATAAGTCTTGAGCATGAGCTTAAGGATGCTGCAAGTTAATTTAAAATCCTTAAGAAAGAAAAAAGTTCCTCTCTCGTTCAATGGGCTATGATGTGAAAAGTCCAACTGTGTTAGCTTGTACTATTGTGCATTTACTACTGCTGAGTGTAGCTATTTATAACTAGAATTACCACTTTGCGGTTGTATGCCTTCGCACTAGTCGAGCTGCAGTTACAGTTTACATCCATGTCTATAAGAAACATGGATGCATGGAGAGAATTTGGCTGAAAGAACGTAATTCGATACATTTTTTACACCATAGACAAAATACCAACAATCAGGTAAACAACAGCACTGTTACAGACTCTGTGGGCATGGGAATGCCAATCAATCACATATATTTTGGTCATGTATTAAAACTACAAACATTCAGGGATATGATTATTCTGATTCTTTAGAGAGTTTTAGGTTACAGGATCCCGAGGGACCCCCGGATTGTGTAGCTGGGATTAGTAAGTGAGGACATTATTCATCAGAAGGACACTTATCTGTTCAAAATCCTAATACTGGCATGCAAAAAGGCCATTACTAGGAACTTGCTAAAACGTGACCCTCCAAGTCCAGGACAGTGGGTGAACTAGAAGAGGAGGAATAACATCTCATGGAAAAACTGACCTTTCCCCTGAGAACTAAAGTAAGGACACGTGCAACGCTGGGGTAAATGGACAGACTATAAGAGAAATGAGGTGCTATTTAGTCAGCTGATCTGAAGACATATAAAAAAGTTGTAAACTGAGGGCAGTAGTCCGTCCCCCCCTTGACCTTTGACCTTGGACCACCAAATTCTAATCAGTTAATTTTTGAGTCCAGGTGGATGTTGGTGCCAAATTTAAGGAAATTCCCTCAAGGCCGTCCTGAGATATCGCGTTCATTGTGATGTCTCTCTAAAAAACACCCAGATCTGGGGACACAATCGCTGCTGGAAACGCAGCAATGACTCGCTGAACAACAACCAGTTTTGTCGTTTGTTGGTCTGGAACAGTGGTCTGCAGCTTGACAGCAATCTCATCAAGGTGTCACACTTTCCACCATCCCTTCAACCTCCCGATGACTTAGTCAGCTTAAACATGTAATCAAAACGTGTAAACAAAGCGTCTGAAATATACTTAACCTATCTATGATTTGCAGAAATGTATAATGCTGTACAATGAATGTGTGTGTGCCAATATGCATTGTTGACATATGTGTAATGTGTAAGTGATACACCCAAATGAATGAATGAATGAATGAATGAATGAATGAATGAATGCTGACGTATCAAAGTTACATTCTGAGCAGTTAATGGAAACTGTTTTGTTTTATAAAGTGGTTCTGTTACCATGTGGAAAGTAAATCACTGAGATCAGATTTAATTTGAGATTTGTCTTACACAACATAATGAATGAATGAATGAATGAATGAATGAATGAATGAATGATGAGAGTATCACAGGAGGTCAGAGGTTACAGGGGAGATACTTGACAGGGAGCCTAAATCTGAGACACTAAATAAGACACGGTGATGTGTCAGGTAGAATGACAGAGGTGTCAGAGCAGATGATGTCACTGCTGAGGATCATTATTCTCAGATACAGTTAATGTACTGTTTACAAGTATGAGTATCGTTCAAGTAAAATGTGCCAAACATGATTTGAGGCCTAATTCTGCGATTGTTCAGTAAATACTTTTCTAATAATTAATAAATACTTCTGATCAACCCATCTTAATTTCAGGCTTACAATGACAACTTTTGGTCATCATATCAATGTTTAAAGTGATTTATATACAGTTTAAGCTGACTTTGTCATTGGGAAGTAGAGGGGGATGTTGGATGGAGTGTAACCTAGGGCGAGATGCCTGCCAAGCTGTAGACCACTACTCACAACCAAAATCACTGGTTGTTTTTTGGTGATCCTTCACGCTGTTTAAACGTTAAACATTGCGTCATTTCCCACAAGTAACGTACTAAATTTTTCTGGCAACTGGGTTCATAAAACAAGAAACACTCCTTTTGGATATTTGGGAAAAATTGTGGAGGGAAAGCAGTTTTAACCTACGTAAGCGTATTGCGTATATTCACTTGACAGCAAAAAAAAAAAAATCTGTTTTATTGAGTATTTTTTTCTGTTTTTCATGATAATTTTTTTTTCTGTTTTTTGTGGTATTTTTTTGGGCTCGATATAATGGAAGCAAACATGACCCGCTTGTTTAGTTTAATCCAGTTTTACTTTGTTTTGGGTTATGTATCCAACTGATTCTGGAGAAACACTGCAATGTCCAGCAGATCTGAATGGGCTTTTCATCTGAACAACCACAAAGTCTTAAGGTGCCTGCGTAAAGTCGACAAACTAATGATAACACCATCTATATGACTTAAAGACAAGAGTATCTCCCAGTGTCTCAAACCCAAAACAAAGTAAAACTGGATTAAACTAAACAAGCGGGTCATGTCAGCTCTCAAGAAAGGAATGAAAGCATCTGTTGTTCTATTGCTCTCTTAACTCAGAAAAAAATACTCTAAGGGTAAAAAATTACCCTGAAAAACAAAAAAAAATTACCCCGATAAACAAAAAAAAAAATACCACGAAAAAAAACCAGAAAAAAATTACCACGAAAAAAAAAACAAAAAAAAATTACCACGAAAAAAAACAAAATAAAATTACCACAAAAAAAACAAAAAACATTACCACGAAAAAAAACAGAAAAAAATTACCACGAAAAACAGAAAAAAAAATTCCACGAAAAACAGAAAAAATTACACCAAAAAAAAAAATTACCCCGAAAAACAAAAAAAAATTACCCTAAAAAACAGAAAAAAAGTACCATGAAAAACCTAAAACAAAATACCATGAAAAACAGAAAAATAAAAAAATTACTCAGAAAAACAGAAAACATTACTCAATAAAACAGATTTTTTTTTTTTATTTGTCAAGTGAATACAATACTATTAACCAAACTACTCCTTTTAATAAAATGTTTGGACCTGCAAGCAGTTATATCAGGTTTCAAGCACCCCATGCAGCTCAGGACATATGAACTGAATGTGAACTATGTGATATAATGTACTGACTTAAACATGATTGTGAAATAATATGAACAGTGACAACACAAAACTCACAGGTGTAATGTACTGAATAAAATGTAGGAAATAAAATAATACTAAAATATTTTTTTCATCTGAGGTAGAAGTGAGGTGACAACAACAGCAGATTATTTAATATGAAACAATGTATTACAGACTTTAATAAACTCCACCAACCACTCAGTTAAAAAACTGAAAACAATAAGCATCTGTTACAGTTTACAGCTCCACCGTTGGACCAAAGAGACACTTTGCAGTTGTTCATGAGCATTTTAAAAGTCTATTAAGAAACAGTGAACTGATGACCTGTTCAGTGATGAGAACTTAGACACCAAAATCATCTCCTGGTTCCCAGCAGACTATTTGCTTTAATATTAGTGCTGTCACTGATGAGGACTGAACAACAAAAAGGACAATCCAAACCAAGAGAACTTACCTTCATCAGTTATATCAATATTTTAACTCCCCAGAAATCAAACTTTCTCTTATATAAAAAAAGAGATGTTGAAATGACAGATTGCTCTACCCATTAGATAATGGTATAATGCTATTCATTTATAATGGCACACCCACAAAGCTGATCAATCTTAGCTCTAAATGTTCTGAGACAGCAGGTTAAATAACCACCCTGTACAAGAAGACAAAGATTCAAACCTCTGACACCTCGTGTTTCCAAGCCTGTATATGAGGTACTGAAGTTTTAACACACATGCACATAAAGCTCAGCTTGATACTGACTGTGACTTTGTAGGTGATGGCTTTCTGAAGTCCCTCTGGAGAGATCTGCAGCAGCTCTGCCACCACTCTGATCTCCTGGGCACTCACCACTGACGCCACCTCCTGGCCATCCGCCTGTTGTGCAACACAGAGAGAGAAAGACAGTGAAAACACTTCATCTGTTGTGTGTTTGATCGTCATACTCTGGTTCAGTGGTTCACTGGTGTGCCGTGATGCAAATCCAGTTGCGCCATGGGATTCTGTGATAACCACACATTATTATTATAAGGACAAATTTTTAATTGACTGTGTCAGTATGTCCTTGCCTGACACTGGATGTCTAGCTTTGAAGAGGGCATACATAAGGTTCACCTCCAGTTCAGTTTTAAATAGTAAGATTTTAGCAAAAATGAATGTGTTTGGGAAGTTCTGAGAATACAGCAGGATAAATGAGACTGGGATTATACTGCACGAGTTGTGTGAGAGTTTTTAAGCGGATGTTTTGATATAGCTCTCTTGTGTTAAATGCAGTTGCCTATGACTTCAATTCATCAAGACTTTTCTCAGATTTGGATTCTTCGTTCACTGGAGGCATGCAAGAAAAACAAAGATTAATTCACAAAGTTTAGGAACACTGGGTGAGTAACTGATTTACAAATTGTCATTTGGAGGGTGAAGTATTCCTTAAACATGATCTGGGTGGTCAAAATATTCCACAAAATGTACCAAACATCTATTCTGAATATAGCACATGTACAGTGGTGTTTGAATTGCCTGACTCCAAATAATAAATATTAATAACAAAATAAAAATAAAGATGGAAACACGACCTCATATCTCTGAAAGTAGACGTTGCCCAGGTGCAGTATGGAAGAAAGAACTCTAAAGATGGCCGACTGGTCGTCAGGGGTGAAGTGAAGGATCTCCATGGCAGCGAGCAGACGCAGGAAGTCCTCAGCATCATTCTTTCCTGTTATCCCACAGTCCCCTCCCTTCATGGTGACAAAGAGAGAGACAGGGCACAGTAGTTTGGGGTGACAAGCTCACTTGATCTGAGCAGCCTGATCTCCATAGGACATTATGATGATGGTGCTGCGCTGTGTCTCTACCTGGTTGAGGTAATAGTAGGTCTCAGCCTCCTGGAGATAGAAAGCCTGCCTCTGCTGCGAGGGGAGACCTGCCAGCATCTCATAGAAGATATGATAGTTCCTTTCATCTTTGGCCTGAAGAGAAACACACATTTAACACTGTCACATACAAGACTTTTTAAAAGCTGTGTATTTATGTAATTTTTCCAGTCCACATTGTTTCAGTATTTTGCCTTATTTTATTTTCTCTTTTTTGTATATTTAACGTATGCGCTAAAAACCAAAGGAAGTTCCTTGTAAGTGACAACCTTCTTGGCAATAAATACAGATACAGAAAAGTATCAGATATAAAGTGTCATCCTGTGTGTGTGTCTGCGTGTGTCACCTGGAAGACAATACGGGACTTTTCCAGTAGATACTGAGAGGTTATGGCACCACTGATCACACCACTGGACAGAGACAAAGACAGCATAGAGCACAGAGTGAACAAGAGAGCAGAGGAAACACAAAAGTGTGTTTTAAACATCATTAAAGAAGAGATGGGATCAGGGAGTAAACCTTTCTGGTTCTATTTCATACTCACTCCTCCAGAAAGACCTCTATGTATTTCCCGAAGCGACTGGAATTATCGTTCCGTACAGTTTTGGCATTTCCAAAAGATTCCAGCAGAGGAGCTGCCTCAAGTATCTACGAACATTCACACACACAGTAAATGAAGAAACCATTATCAGCTGTGTGACAGTAACAGCAGCCTGTTTACAGCCATTATTTAATGCAGATATAAAATCTAGTAGCTTAAACGAAAACTTCACCCCCAAAATGATTGATTCTATATCCGTGATCAAGTTACGTGCACAGTAATATTCCGAATTAAGCCTTATTCTGAATGTGGCACTGATTAGGACATGTGAGATATGCTGATATTATTTGGGTTTTAGGAGCATTCTTTGGACATGTATACAGTGCATTCATGTGTCTCAATGGAGGTCTTTCATGTAGTATGTGACACACGGCCTCTTGTCGGCTGTTTACAATCGGCTCTCTGTGTTGTCATGGATGCATTGTTCACAAACCATCCCACCAACAGTTTGAAGGCTGTGGGGTTGAGATGCCCGAAAGAAAAGCCCACATATATGGTCATAAGGGGAGGCACACCTAATTTAAACTTTATAAAAAACATGGATATTAATAGGTTTTTGAATATGCATAAACATCACAACACCACGAATGAAAAGGGAGGCTGTGTTCACACTGTCCAACACATCTGCAACTGGTGGAAAACTGAAAAAAAATCCTATTTTGATGCTCCAGCCGTTCCACTTCTCCATAATTTGACATGATAGAGGATACACCCATTAAGTTCTGTAGCTGGGTGCAACTTGCATTTTTTTCGCATCTGATTGCAGTTATCCATGTGGCAAAGTATAAACAGAGTAACAGCAGAGAGAAAAGGAAAACTGAAATTTTTAGACTGGAAGCTGCAGGTCCTAGTGCAGAGACATTTCTCTAAACCTCAGGAAAAGAATTTAAACATTCATTCATTTTCTGGAGCCTATCGCAGCTGACAGGTCGAGGACAACCATTCACACTCACACCTACGTACAATTTAGAGTCACCAATTAACCTGCATGTCTTTGGACTGTGGGAGGAAGCTGGAGTACCAGGAGGAAACCCATGCTGACACAGGGAGAACATGCAAACTCCACTCCCTGAGGTCTGAACGCTTGCTGTGAGGCGATAACGCTAACCTTGCAGCCCAGTAAACGGGGATATCAGTGGAATATTCATTTTCATCAGCCATGTAAACAGCTTAGTAGGAATATTATTGTAAGACAGATTTTTCCACTGTTTAGCAATAAGATATGTTTTAGATGTTTTATGTTTTAGAGATGAGAGAAAATGAGAAAGAGAAAAAGGACTTAATTGGTTCCGGGGGAGAGTTGAGAGAGACGGGAAAAAAAGAGGGAGGAAGGTTGTAAGTGACGGAACTGTGTTGTTGTACTGGTGCTGTTCTCTTGCTGTGAAGTTGAATAATACAGCTGACGTTTTGAAAGAGATTCGTCTGGTTCTTTCTATAGCACTACAGTGTTATATTATCTTTTCCTGAATAAGGGCAAAAACCGGCATATTTAGTGCATGCAAATGTAATCACTGTATCGCGCTGTGTTACCTTGAAATCATGAAGAAAATTTAATATTTCTTGCAGCCTCCACAGTGAACGAAGAATCCAAAAACAGACTGAATTCTTAATGAACTGGAGTAAAAAGGGGTCGGTGTTTAACAGCAAAACTATACCAAAAAACATCTGTTTACAAACTCTTACATAACTCCTGCAACATTATCCAACTCTCATTTACTCATTCTTATATTCAGTACTTCCCAAACACGTGTTTTTGCTAAAACCTTCCTATTTAAAACACAGTACATGTGCGCTACTCGGCCATGTGTGAGATTGTTCATGCAGAAGTGTTTTCCACACGAGTTGAAGGTCACACAAGGTGAGTAATTGATATACAACTGATCATTTTAGGGGGTTAGGTGTTCCTTTAATTAAGCATTGTAATGCTCATTTGAAATTCAACACAGATCATCACTCAGAGACTTAAATGATGCTAGATTGATTTTCTAAAGCAAGAAAAAAATAAAAAAAATCTCTGGTGAATATTGCCACACACCGCAGCAAAACACATCAATTCTTAAGGCCTTATGTGAAGATGAGCTGTTAAATATAAAGCACAAGTCATGCAGGGAACCCCACTACCTCAATCTGCAGCCGGCAGAGACACAGAGACATGGAAAAAAAGACGCACAGGGGCATTAGTCATCCTTCAAGACAGGAACGTGTGTGTGTGTGTGTGTGTGTGTGTGTGTGTGCATGCGTGCGTACCTGTTGCGCAAGATTGCATTTGTGATCTATTGCTGCTAGGTAGCGAAGGACCAGTTTGGTGGCCTCTGTTTTCCCAGATCCGCTCTCCCCACTGAAACACAGTAACACACACTCAGTGGGCAGAGATAACGCCCATCAACAGGACTCAGCAGCTGATACATTATATATAATGAATTGTCCCAGTGCTCTGCTGAAGAGGTCGCAGCACTGCTGTGCGTGTCTGAAACCCACAAATATTGTGAAGATGAGCGCGTAGCAACGTGTGCTTCTACTTAGCATGGAAAGGGACGGACAGATATGAAGAATATGGTCAATTTAAAGGATACATTTATCTATGGTTTTCTACCTCAGTATCCTCATGTGACTGTGTACCTGAGATTTCTTTTCTGGGGTCGTTGTTTGCAGAGACAAGGGGGAATGATTAAAAGCCAGTGCTCAGCTTCAATCGACAATCATAAGTCCACGGACCAAGCCAGAGATCTTGATATTGTCATGAACTCATACCTGAATTTCACAGCCACTCCAAAGCCAGCCCATCACCTACTAAAAGACTATATCAATGATTAAAGGATTGATGTCTCAGCAGGATTTGGAAAGACTCGTCCATGCATTTATCTTCAGCAGACTTGACTACTGTAACAGTGTCTTAACAGCTCTGGCTTAAAATTCATAATGCTGCTGCTGAAATCTCCCTGGCTTCCTATCTACCTACAAAGTGATTTCAAAATACTACTGTTAGTTCATAGCACTGAATGGTTTACGGCCAAAATACATTTCTGATCCTCTGCGACATTATGAGCCCTCCAGACCTGCTCTGGTGCATCTACTGCTAGCTCACCTAGCACCACTGACCTAGCTGGTTACATCTCAGCCGAGGAGGACGCCATTAACGTTTACATCTTGTGCTGTCACGAGCATTAACCTCCCGTCTATGAGCAGATGCATGGTGATACGGTTGCCGGATGCAGTTTGCTAGAAAGAAAGTAGTTCCTACATGAAACTGCTCACAACAAGGTCTGTGGATTATCTTGAGTAACCGGGTCATGATTTCTGGAAAGAGACATTGCTGTTGAGTTTTCCAAATATGTTTTTTGGTGCTTTGAGCACCACAAGCCGAGTGCCATCTAGTTCCATTATATTGGAGAGAAGGCAGACATCTCTACAACCTATATCTCCAACACTCGATAAATCACTCCAAAACATCTAGACCAGGGGTGCTCAGCCTGAGGAACACAATCATGGCTCAAATCCGGTCCACTCGATGACTTTGCACACCTAATATTGAAGCAGTTGCGAAGGCTAAGAGGTGCAGCTGTCAGAAGCAGGTTAAATGAGTATCCTACTTCATGTGAAATGCTGCTTCAGAGGCTTTTCCACCCCGACCAGAATACAGTTCTTTGAAAAAACAATTAATACTTATTGTGGTCAAATTTTAAAGATATTGAACATCGTGTAAAATATTGTCAACCAGCAGCTTCAGTACAAAAGAGTCTGTATCAGACTTCTATTTCAAAACACTTTTGGTGGCGCCCTACAGCTATGGTACTACCAAGAGTTTAGATATGTAAATGGTCTGTAACCTGCTTCTTCAATAGCTTTCATTATCTGTTCTTCTGCCTATGACTAAGATGAGTTTGGCACCCCTGATCTAGACCTATGTAGGTACTAGTGCTAGTATTTAATATTCTTCATTTGTAGCCTTGATGAACGTTCATTGCACACTGGGCTGATAATCCATTTGCTAAAAGGCAAAGTGGAGGTGGAAGCTCATTAAGAGTGAACATTATCCGCACTTTGAGCACCGCTACACGCAGCTTTTATTAATCACTTAGATGGTCCATTATATGACCCTTCTCACCTTCCTGCTGGTGCTCGTGGAGCATTTGGCTTAATTGACTACGTGATGTGAAACCAAGCTAATCTTCCATCGGGCAAGGCCTCAATTCCACTTTTGCGTTAAACCACCTGAAACGCTCGTACACACACACACTGTGCTTCATTACTGCCAACAGCTTAGTGCTAAATACCACCATTATGTAAGCTTGGCCAAAGGGGGGGCAGGAGTTTGTGTGTGTGTGTGTGTGTGTGTGTGTATTTAGGGACACCAGCACCTTGACCACATTCCAGCATAAGGTTTCAACTCACGGGCTGGTTAGCTAAAAACCGGGCCATTACTGGTCACTGTACACCAGACCTCAGTTTCCCCTAAACACGCACTCAGTGACTCACACAAACACAGAGTTCACACACATGCACTCGGACACACACACCTCTGAAAGATAATCTGCCGCTGGCCCAGACCTGGCTGGGCTTTCCTTACAGGTGTCTCCTTCCGAATATGGCTAGAGTGTTCCAGGTGTGTGCGAGTGTGGGCGCTTGTGTATTTCATATGATTGTTTCTGGACAATTTCTAAAAGCGCACACTGACGTGAAAGTGTGTGAATGTTTTGTATATGTGTCTGCGCTTTTACATCTGAGTTAGATGTAAAAGAGCTATGACTATACGTGTGTTTGTGCGTGGAGATGAGTTCTGACACGGGGCGGGCGCCTGTGACAGATAGACGGAGCGCGCTCTGTCTTAAGTTTGCTGGCCAGAAAACCACAGACAGACACTCATGAATTTACAAACACTAATCCAACTGGAGATGGAAACCTAACTGTCCAAGAAGCTTTTTGGACACTGCGTATACCAGGGTTAAACCCTTACAAAACCCTGTGACGTTACCAACCTAATGATACACACACAAAAAATATCTTGTTGCAGCACATAAGATTTTTATGTTAGAAAAAAAAACTTTGTAAAGGCTGATAGTTATACTTCATAGTGTAGTAGTATGTCCTGATTGCGTGCATACTGCATGCAACAGTACGTACTTTTTAAGGGCAGCTGCAGTACCTACTAAAAGTAAAAAGAAAAGTGTGATTTGGAACGCACCCCTAAATAATGGTGTAATAGTAACAATATTAAACAAAAGTACAAAATTCAGCTCCATTTGTCTTATACTACACATGTTTTCCCAACATATAGAACCTGCTAATGTTATTAGCATGAGCTTATGACATTTTAGGTTGCATAAATTAGCCTAGAGGCTAGCAGAATTTTCCTCTATAAAGCCAGGAACAACAGCAACATTTAACAAGGGTAAAGGCCTTTTGCGTACTGAGTCCATTTTTTTTTTGTCTGACATTGTCGCGCATCTAAAAATAAATACGACTTCATGTTGTGTCAATCGTGTTTGCACATTCAGTCCAAAATGTTCATCTATTATCTGTGTTTTTTTCCACATCCATCAGAAGCCTTGGGAGATGTCCAAGAATCAGTGAAGAAAATGTGGCTGCAGGACACAGACGTGACAAGACAGAGGGACAGGGCCCAATGACTCATTTCATAACTCAGATAGCTCACTTTCAACAGGTCAGATAGTAATATTCAGGTGGATGATGATTACGAGGTGGAGGATGATGTGGACCGCAGACTGAGAGGGAGGACAGCTCTGCTCCTTCATGCAGCTGAGATACCAAATGACAGACAGGGAGGGAGATGTGACAGCCAGATAGGTAACTCCAGTGGAGAGAGGCAAAGATGGAAATGTGTCTTTTGATTTTGTAACATATTGCGAATTTTCACAAGCAATAGAACAATAAAACGCATCAGAATCTGTGTGCTAGATTTCTGTGCTTAACATTTTTTTCAGATGACAGGTTAAAAAAACTGCATCCCAAAAAAACTGACTTAGTGTGCAAAGGCCTTAACGTTACAAAATTCAGCTCCATTATAACTCACAAGGTTTACCTACAAAAAGTCCTATACTGGACACATTTTCCCCACATATACAACATGCTAACATTATAAGCATCAGCCTATGACATTTCCCCTTGCATACATTAGCCTAGCAGCTAGCCGACTTTTCCTCTACTCATATGAAGCCAAAATAAATTACACAAAAGACTTAAAATACTTTTTTTGGTGGGAGCTTTATTGTCCTCACAAGTTATTGTTTCTTATCTGTAGAATAAAAGCTTTGTTCCCACTAAGGGGAAACGGTTTTCAGCTTTCAAAAATAAAGAGGAGGTCTGCTTCAGCACAACATGTAGTTAGGCCTACATTTCTAAGGAGGTGCACGTTAGGCTACAGCGCAGGGTATGTAACGTATCGTGTCTTATTGAACTACTTCACAAAGTGCTTTGCTTTCCATAGCTGCAGTTGCGGTCAATAAGCGTGCCGTGTCTCTCAGTACATAGTTGAGTACAGTACAGGGTACATATCCATGCAGAGCCTACGCCGTGGATATGGAATACAGTCAACTCATAAGTATAAATCCTGCTTGAATCCAATGTAATGTATGATGAACCGTGTTTGTACGAAGTAATATTGTTGTGAACTTTGATGTCGGGTTTACAGGTACATGGAAAGTCATTATAAATGTGTATTTTTCTAAGGAGTGTGGAGACAGTCGGCCTCTTACCTGATTATTATGACCTGGTTGTGTTTGGCATCCATCAATGTGGAATAAGCAGCGTTTGCTATGGCAAACAAGTGCCTGAAGAAGAGAGAGGAGCTGCATCAAGCTGAGATATTTAAACATATATAAAAGCAACGAACACAAACTTCATGTCTTCTCCTTTTTTCTACCCTTATCCTCTGTATTTCTAACCATCTTTTTTCCCTGCCCTGCCTTAATTATTTACCTGAACCATTCCTTCCTTTACTCAAAACATGTGGGCTTCCTTTCTAGTTTCAAACAGAACACGGTAAGGATCTATTATGTTTTGTTTTTAAAATACAATATTAACCAGCTATAATATAATACTGACAACAGCGTTCTGTTTGTTTGTTTTCATTTCACTGTCCCCACATTTGAGCGTGAACATGACTCACGGAGGGTTCTCTCCCAGAGCATGACCCTTGTACAGCAGCACCACGTCTGTCCCATAGATGTTGTACATCTTGTAGGGGTTCACAGACACCAAAATGCTGCCTATGTATGACTGAAAAAGAAGAAGAAAAGAAAGAAATGGAAATTTAAAAAAAGAAATAGATAAAGAGATAGATTTGTAAAATCAACACAAACTCAAAAGGAACTAATCTGACTTCTGATTTATACATAAGTTCAAGACATTTTCAGGTATAGTATAATGAGTCTATGTATGCAGGTGTTTGTATGTTGGACGTGTGTGCTGCTCAGATACTTGCATAAATAATCTCTCTCTCAAATCTTTTCCGCAGGTTCAGCAGGACAGCCCCTTCATGCATCTCCCTGGACAGAAGCAGTAAGACAAAGATATTTAAGGATGACAAAGGACTTCTGCTGCCACCACAAAGGCACGATCTCCCTTACCCACCAGCCTCTATTGCGGGACAGTTAAAAGACCTTGTTCGAAGGATCTAAGAGGTCGGGAGTCAGAGTAGGGGCAGAGAAGTTCAGCCCATGTATGGCTTTATAAACAAATAAAATAATCTTAAAATCAATCCCGTATTTGATAAATTCAGTGTCCACTGTGCTTAATTCAAATCTGGCCTTTCTTCACTAAGTATTGTGCTAATCTTTAGGCATAGCCAACCACTACAACTGTCTTTGATGCTTTATAACGATGACTGCCCACTGATCACACTGTATATGCTGAAGCATGGTCTCATTCTCCATACACTGAAAAAGGCAAACATGACTGCAGTTCAGGGGTGAATCTAGGATCAGAGATTTAGGAGTGCTGAGCACCCAGAGAGCTGCCCAGCCAGGCAAGATAAATTTCACTGTTTTGTACATTTTAACGCAATTTCATTCCCATTTGTGAAAGAAAAGCACAACACTTTTTGGGAAAGTCTGTGACTAAACCATCAAATCTGATAAAGGTTATTTAAATGCTGAGCCACAGCAAAAGAGGAATGGATTGGAATCATCAAAGAAACATATCGTAACCCTAATTTCTGGAGGAGGATAATTCATTTTGATACAGCAGCTCCTCAACATACACATAAACAGTATGTATGTTTCTGGAGTAAACCAGCCCCCTATAGTGAGTACCAAAAATACCAAAAATGGACCTTGGACTTATTTTTTGGACTTTTATTTGAAATGCAATGCACAACATGTGACATTAACACATTAACAGTAATTGACTTTTTTAATGTTTGTCTCTGCCTTTTCCCTTCTTGTCACAATAGGAGTTATAATGTTAATGGGCATCCAGTCAGTTAGCTAGTCAGTAGCACCTTGGCTTTAATATTAACACATGCACATGACACAACAGCTAGCTTCTCTCATTCCAATTCAAACAGAGGACAGTGGTACTGACCACCTGTAATGTTTCCTAGCTAGAAAAAACGTCAGTTAACTCCTACCTAACAACATAAACGGTGACCTACAATTAAATGCAGCAAAAATGAGGACTGGTGATGATAATAATGTGTTGGTATTGAGTGGTAGGAGTTAAGAAATGTGCCACTTATCCTGGTTTAAGCCAGGTACTTACACCACTACTGCATATCAGCCACTCTGGAAGGCTCTGTGCAGGTAGAGCGCTCAGAGCCCGAGTCAGGGAAAGGTGGGAGGGATGGGGTGGGTCAAACCATTTTTGAGGCAAGGGGGGAGGGGGGTTGCTGCTGTATTTTTGTTGTTAAAATATTACGTTGCAAACAAGTACTGTATGGTTTTGACACTTTTCTAGCTTAAAAAGGATTTACAATAAAAAAAATAAATAAATCTCTCAAATTTTAGGGGTGCTGGGATTCAATTTAGGGGTGCTTCAGCACCCCCAAAAATGGGCTAGAAGCGCCTATGCTGCAGTTTATTACCTTAAATCATGATTAACCAAATGGAATACATTCTTTAACGTGATGGATTGCCTTAAATCTGACTACACTTTGTGACAGAGTTAACTCAGGTGTGAGTGATTTTCTTTACTTACTCTAACTGTGTCATATCTTCCACCCCGTCTTCCTCTCGTTGCTCTCGGTGAGCCATCGTGGTCAGGCTTCTGATTGAGTACATCTAAAATACAGGCATCAGAAAGGAGGACATGATGCATGTACAAAGCTCTTTGCACTGTGTACATGCACTAATACATTCACACACTCATGTGGAAATATCAGTTCTCTCTCTTTTGGATTATCCCAGTCTTCATTGTATCCAGAGTCATCTCTCACCAAGGAAATGTGCTTTAGACATTTTATCTTATTAGCCCAGTGGAATTGTATATTCTGATTACAAAAATGTTTTCCAAATGAGCTACCATCCCTCTGATTACTCCCTCTCGCTTTCACCCAGCATTACACTTCCAACTGCAAGATTACACCACATGTAAGGGATGATGCCGAAGAGGTGTCCATTATCAGGAATTAATTAAGCCAGTAATGGACTAAGCCACTAATGGACACCTTGAAGGGCATTTACACCATGGTCACCTGCCAAAGAAAAAAACACTAACCATTTATTTATATTTTTGCAATCAAAATCTAAAGTTGTTTGTTTAAAATGTTTTGGTGGTTACTTCATCTTTATATGTGTTACTTAATCAGCAGTAAGACAAGAGACTTAATCAGTCTCTTTTTCAAACTTGGTGCCGACTATCCATCCATCCATTTTCTAACCGCTTCATCCTCTTGAGGGTTGCGGGGGGCTGGAGTCTATCCCAGCTGGCATTGGGCGAGAGGCAGGGTACACCCTAGACAGGTCACCAGACTATCACAGGGCTGACACATAGAGACAGACAACCATTCACACTCACATTGACACCTATGGACAATTTAGAGTCACCAATTAACCCGCATGTGGGAGGAAGCTGGAGTACCTGGAGAAAACCCACGCTGACACAGGGAAAACATGCAAACTCCGCACAGAGGGGCTCCCACACCCTGGATCGACCAGGAACCCTCTTGCTGTGAGGCGACAGTGCTGGTGCCGACTAATTAAGGACAATTTTCGAGCACTGCTTGGACAGTGACAGCCAGAGTTTGTAATGGCATGTCATTGCATTGTGCTGTAAAGGGGGTAAAAATAAGTATGTCTACCTGGGTGTCATATTTCCATCACATCATCGCTGGAGCCAAATATTTGTGACTACTGCAGTCATTTATCCCGGGAATGAATGCTGATGGTAACCTTTCCCACCAAAGTCAAAAGCCAGATTTTAGTTGCTGTTAGTGAGTTTTTTTGTCCAGTGGAAAAGGGGCTTTAGATACGACTTGGCAACTGGAGATATTTCTAGTGCGCTCAGCTCATAGAGCCCTTCAGCTCAGTAGTTAGCCAAAAAGCTAATGTTATGCTAGTAAGATTCAAAGTGAATAACAGTAAACATGATAAACAAATGGTAAATATAATCTGACGGTATGTTTAACAACAAAAATAGCTAGCCGTGCAGCCATGCCATTGTACCCAAATCAATGTCAATATAAGATTTTCCTGAACAAATGATGGCTATGTGTACTGTCAGCCGAGGCCTGAAGTAGCAAGTTGAATAGCAAAATGACATATTTGGTTGAGATGGTGGATATACAAAAATACATATGGCTTCATTTTTCTCTGCAGTTGCCGCTTGGTATTTAACCACACCATGGTATAAAACAATTATAGTATGGTGCCAAACATTAGCTATTGTGTCTAACTGTAGTGTGAGTCATGTTTCAAAACTTTTACCTTGTCATACCAGTGCCCCTGTGGTTCTCCCTCCCTGCTGAGATTCCACTCCCCTGGTTCGTGCCCCACTTGTCCCTGTCCCATCAGGCTGTGGGGGTCCAGCAGTTCCCCGTCTCTATACATCGACCACTTATTGAGGTTCTGCACTGTCCCGTGAGGTAGTACCCTCTCTGCACCCCATACATCCACATCTTGCTGCAGTCCCAAGCCTTCAGCTCCGGGGCCCTGTGCCCAGTGCTGCCCAAGGCCAGATCCCTGGACCTGGGGTGACACTACAGCATATGATGAAGGTAGACGGAAAGAGGCCCCTCGGAGGTTAGGGTTCTGCAGGGCACCAGAGAGGTTAAGTGTACGAGGTTCTGGGGTGCTAGGGGCACCAAGCCGTGTCATGATATTACCCTCAGGGAGACGGTAATTTGCCCCACGAAGGTTTGGGTTCTTTGATAATGCATTAGACAGATCAAGTGTTCGAGGTGCAGGAGTGGGCTGAGGGCGGTTCATCAGCGTTCCATCAGGCAAACGGTAGGTGGCAGATCGAAGGTTCTGGTTGCGAAGAGCATTGGAAAGGTCAAGGGAGCGTGACTCAGTGGTTTCTGCAGAACCAGGCTGCCTGAATAGTGATGTGTTTGGAAGTTTGTAGGAGGCACCTCTAAGGTTGGTCTTTAACATTGCATTAGAAAGGTTAGGACCGGAGGGAGCAGAGGTGGAAGCTTGGTTCTGTGAAAACAATGATGATCCACCTGGGAGCTGAAACTTTGCCATACGCAGGTTCGCATTCATCAGGGCACTAGATAGCCCCGGTGATGATACAGTACTCTCAGGATTCTGTGGCTCCTCTACCGGATGTGTTAGAAATGAACCATCTGGTAATCGATAAGAGGCCTTACGAACATTAGCATTGAGAAGAGCAGAGGAGAGCATAGAAGATGAAGGGGCAATGGGCTCAGGCTCATTTCTTGTTACCAAAGTCCCATCTGGCACCCTATATGTAGCTTTACGTAAACTGGGGTTCAACAATGCAGAGGAAAGCATAGGTGAGGAAGGAGAGGGTGCAGGTGTAGGTTCTGCCCTGGTTACTAGAGTGCCATCAGGCAAACGATATGTCGCCTGTCTCAAATTGGGATTGAGCAGGGCAGAGGACAGCATAGAGGACGAGAGGGGTGATGGACTTGGTGCAGCTTCAGCAGGTTCAGTTCTGGTGATCAGTGAGCCATCAGGAAGTCGATAGGTGGCCTGTCGTAGGCTTGGGTTCTGCAGGGCATTGGATAGCATAGAGGGTGACAGTCTCCCACCTCCAACATCACTGGTAACTGGAGACTCAACAGGGCTCCGGGACATTGTCAAAGCGCCACTTGGAAGCCTTAACATGGATCCCTGAATTTGGGCAGTCCGCAATCCACCAGAGAGAAATGAGGAGGTACCTCTGATAGTCCCTTGTTGAGGTGTGGTGGGAGGAGGGGCAGGAGAGGCAGGAGACATGGGGGAGAGGTGTCGCTGAAGGGGTGAGGCAAAGGAAGCATTACGTAGCTGGGAGTTAAGCATAGCAACAGACAAGTGTGGGGAGGAGGGTAAAGAGGGGGCAGGAAGGGCTGCTGCCTGTGGGGGTGAAAGGACATTTGTATAGACATTGGCATTGCGTTGTAGAGGAGACGTGTAGGAGGCGTTACGCAGGCGGGAGTTCTGCATCAAAGCATTGGATAGACCAAGAGTGGCATATGGGCTACCCTCCTGGCTCACCTGTACATCCGCTGATATTGCCCCCTCCCCACCAGGTATTGGGGAAGGGCTTCTCTGTAAAGGTGTGGTGTAACTGGCATTCTGCAGATATGGATTCTGGAGCGCATGCCCTAGATAAGGTGATGGGGGTACAGTTTGAGGGAGGTTTTGGGGGTGGACTTCATACTGTGGTTGGGGAGATGAGGGTCTCTGTAAAGGAGAAACAGTGGTGGAGTATGGGATGGAGGAAGGAAGAGGAGAAGGAGGAAAAGGAGCACCTACAACCTGATGGTTTGGTAAAGCATTTGTAAGCATTGGGGAGGGTCCCGGCTCCATCATTGTGTAGTCATACTGGGTGATACCCTGAGATGATTGGAGAGTACCAGGAGGAAGACCAGGTTGACGTAATGGAGGTTGAAAAGATGATGGTCCTAGATTCTGGGGACTCATAGCCCTGTGGGGAAAGGGGGACTGTGGGCGAGACATATGGTGCATGGGAGAGGCTGAACGCGAGGGCAGAGGAGATGGACGTTGCAGTGGTAGTGGAGATGGAGGTCTACTCTGTAGCCTACGCACTGATGGCTGGGGAGATAGAGGGCCACTCTGTTTCAAAGACGGCTGGGGAGAGACAGGTGGCACTGGAGGAGGTCCTCTGAATGACTGCCTAGACTGAAGAGAGGGCTGGTTTCTGGGCATACGAACTAGTGGCTGTCCCCTACCTACAGGTCTGTGGAAGCCTCCTTGGTTAGTACCAATTCGTTTTGACTCCCTTAATCCTGCAGGGCGGGAGCCTGCCCTGGCTAACATGGGTGTTCCAGCTACACCCCCAATCTGTCCTGAGGGAGGGGCTGTGCCACTATGGATAGAGGACCTGAATGGGGCTACATGCTGAGTGACAGGGGGTCCATGTCTACTGCGTCTCTGTAAGTAGGGATTAGCTGGAGAGGGTTTTACGGCCCCCATGGGCACATGAGCTCGGCCACCAACACCACCCCTCAGCCTCCGAGTAGAGGACCGGGTTGGAAGGGGGCGACTGGTCATTCTTGATGGGGAAGGAGAAGGAGGACGATGGGGAGAGGTGGGCCGGAAGGTTTGCGGGGGAGACTGAGATCTCTCTGGTAGAGGCGGGCTACGTCTTTGTGGGGACGGGAGGGGAGGAGATGGGGAACGCCTCATCTTGGATGTTTGTTTTCTACCTTTGAACATATGCGGTCTGGTAGGTGGCAGAGGAACAGCATCAGGAGGGGGCTGCTGTCTGAAAGAGAGTCTTGGGGAAGGTGGTGGGCTTGCTCTCCTCCTCAGTGATCCCCGGGGTGAAGGTAGAGGGCTCGAAAGGGGGGATTGGGGTCGGACTGTTGATGGAGCTCTGCGTAAACCAGCTCCCCCCCTTCCTCTTGACAAGGATGGCTGAGCTCTAACTGACATCCCTCTCCTCTGGAATGATGGGGAAGGAGGTGGGCTGGGGGGCCTCCGCCTCTGGGAAGTCTGCATCTGGCCTGCCACTGAGGCCCGATGAGGTCCTCTCCTTTGTAAGCGAGGGGAGAAATGTGGATCTGACTGGATGCCTGTTTGAAAGTCCATGTGATGTGGTGAGAAGCGGGGTGAAGGAGGTGGCATCGCCCTAACTGATCCTGGCCTAATTGACAGCTGTGGCGATGGAAGGGGACTCATTCGTCGCACTGGCCTGGGTGAGGCCATTGGTGAATGTAGTGGTGAAGGCATCAGCGGAGGCATTGGTGGCTGTATCTGTGCAACCATTGGTGGCATTTGCCCCATCTGAAACATTTGTGGGTCCTGGGGGAGGGTTGGTTGGTACATTTGGGGTGCAAATTGTAGTGGCGAGGGGGCTTGTCTAGGAAGTATGGGGATTTGTTGTTGGTTCATGGCAGCGGGGTAAGGGGGCTGTGCAGGAGGGTATGTAGGAAGAGGCTGCTCATAACTTATATCGGACATCATTTCCAAATTGTTGAGGGCAAGAGCTGGGGAGGGAAGGGGGAACATGGGGGAAGCTGGCTGAGAATAAAGAGGAGTAGGAGGAGGTGGCGGCAGGGTTTCCACCTCTAGTCTATCTTTTCCAAATAGCTTGACCTGGGGCCTGGGGACCCTGAACTGCTCTGCTGAAAATGGCTCAGGAAGAGGGTAAGACAGCTGCTCCTGTCCATATAGCTGTCCTATATCGCCTGGATCCTGCCCAGGATCCATATAGAAAGATTGCTGATAGGGGTTATAAACAGCAGCAGGGTCTGTATATCCCAGCATTGGGTCATTATAAAGGCCTGGAACAACATCATAACCACCATTCATCACGCTATACGGGTGACTCCCATAGTTATAACCCATATTGTAGTCAAAGTAATCTCCATATGGCTCAGGGTCATATGGGTCATAGTAACCATCCATGGCACTACCATAGTAGCCATATGGCTCTGGCTCCACTGCATACAGCATTCCATCTTCACCATAGAAATACTCTACCCCTTCATCGCCATAGTAATCTTCATACTCATCCTCATAATAGCCATAAGGGTAACCGTAGTAATCCACGTCATCCTCATAGTAAAACTCATCATCATAATAAAAGTTGCCCTCATCATCGTAGTAACCATATTCATCTTCCCACTCGTCATCATCATAGTAATCCAGGTCTTCTCCGTAAGGGTCATAGGGGTCATAGGCTTGTCTCATGTAGCCTCTAGGTCTCCCCCTGCTGTGGTAATCTTCATCATATCCATACTCATCATCGTCATACTCATAGGCCTCATTGTAATAATGAGTCTCTCTCCCTCTAGCGTTCCTGTTAGCAAATGACAGACTCTTTTGTCCCCTACCTCCTGCTCGTGCCCCCAGGCGACCTTGGCCCTTAGAAGTCAGGAACCTCCCTGTCAGCCAGTTAGATGCTGCAGCTATCCTTCCTAACATCCAGCTTTTACTCTTAAAATCTGATCCTGCTTTCTTTTTCCCAAACATGCCTTTAAACTTCCCTCCCAGTCCCTTTGCCTCTGTTGCCATTTTCCCCTTGCCCCCTAAACCGGATAGATTTATTGTCTTTTTAGGTGGTGTGGTTTCTTTTGGAGCCTCCTTTTTATTAAACAAGCTGAAGCCAGACAGACCTGGCTTTTTGTCAGCAGATGATTTACCCCCAAACCCAGCTAAAAGCTTGCTGGTTCCCAGTAACGGTTTACCACCAGAAGGGGGTTTCTTTTTCTTGGAGAGTCGTAGGAAAAGACGAGAGGTGCTTTTGAGGTTTCTCTTTGGTTTCGCTTTCTCTGCCGGCTGTTTAGAGGGCAAGGTAAAAGGAGTGGACTTCCCTGCAAGGCCTGAGAGGGCTTTGGAGGCTCCTTTGAGGTGAGACTTGACATCTGGTGTCTTTTGTGTTTTTGCTGCAGCAGTGCCCCTTTTCTGTCCCTCTGCAGCAAAGCCCATCATGGCCTTGGAGGCTCCTCTGATGTTGACATCACTCATCTTTTTCAGATTTACTGCACCCATCCCTTTCTTCATCTGAGGCTTCCTATCCTCCTCATCATCATCATCAGACAGAGGTGGTTTAGCAGGCTTAAATCCCTTCACAGCCATGGCCTTGGATGCACCTTTTAGAGCTGCTTTCCCTTTTCCTTTATCCTTCTTGACAACTACCTCCTCCTCACTTTCCTCATCTTCCTCAGTCTTCATCTCCTCTTCTTCTTCCTCTGACCCTTCCTCTGACTCGCTGGCAGGCTTCTTTCCCTTTCCCTTCTTTCCATCATCCTTCCCTTTCCCCTTAGCCGGTGGCTCCTCTGCCTTCTTTCCCCCTTTCTTGTCATCTTTCCCTCCCTTCTTATCATCCTTTCCTCCCTTCTTTGGCTCCTCTGACTTGCCTTTCTTGGCAGCTGATTTTGCGTCACCTTTTTTAGGTGGCATGATGTCTTCTTGCTCAAATCATTTTAAACAAGAAGAGGAAGAACGAGATCCCAAAATGTGCTAAAGCAGGTCAATGTTGATATGAGTCTAAATAGTAGCAACATCCTCTCTGTCCCAATGCTTTTCACGTCTTCTCTCCTTTTTCCTCCATCTGATCCGTCCATGTGACGCCCCAGAAACACACACAGTGGAGCACTCTGTCCCGAGTCAGTTGTTCTATAATGCACACAGAGACAAACACAAACCCCAGTCCTTCAAAACACGATCTAGTAATGGAGTCGGAATCTCAGCCATCAGTGCTTGCTCGCATTACAGTAGGTCTTCAAGCCTCAGCAAAAGAGCTGTTGTCTCTGTGTGAGTAAAAAGAGACGGAAACCTCTTTAAGAGTGTTAAATAAGAAGAGGCAGATGCTTACTGAATTTAAAATGTTACCTGTGAGAAGAATTAATCTCACTGGTTACAGTCTCTCTCAGTTTTACCCACTTATTGCCTCTGGAGTTTTTCCACTGAAGTCCAGCCTGCATAGCAAAAACACTTGCACATTTCTGTCCTTGTTCCTCTTAACAGGCTTTTAAGTAACTTCCCAGGGTCACACGGTGAATAAAAGACCCTGATATCCCAGTGACAGGGTCTGTGTAGTCCTTTGTGTGTCTCCCATTGTTAGTGCGTCCTGTGAGTCCAGCGGTGAATCCTCATCTTGGCCGCCGCACCAACTTTGGCAGGACGTCCCCCCCAACAAGGAGAGTCGATGTGCGTGCGTCCGTGTGAGTCTCGGCCTTCAGGGGTGTCCTCCTCTTTGTCTGAGAGTGAGTGTGTATGCGAGTTGTATCCTCCCACATCCACGTCAGCTTGCCTTTGTGACCTCCTGCAACCTTCTGCATCTCTCTCTGGTTACTGCCGCTTCATGCATCCTTGTTCGCCTCGACTTGAGGCCTCATCGTTACCCTCAGCTCATGTGTATGCACATATGAGCATATGTATTGTATGTCTGTGTGTGTGTGCATGTGCATCAGTGTGTATCCCTATAATACAGTTGCAAAGGGCACCTTAAAGCAGCAGCTATACTGCCTCGGGGTAACTCTATCTGCTGGCTCGCTCCTGTATGAATAATGCAGGCTGGCTGAGCTGTTGCTAAACTGTGTCTGAGAGGCGAAGCCACGCAGAGCCAAAACACGCACACCAATGAGAGAGGCATGGACCACAGCTGAGAGTGATGCCTGCTATAATGTCCGCAGAAGTTTTTAACAGTATGAACAATCCAAAAGTACATATGGGCATGTTTGATGCAAGAAAATACAACATAGGACTTCAAACTGGCAATGTACTGTATGTGGGTTATTAAATTAAATAAAGGATTAAAAATTAACATTTAATAAGTCAAGCTCTCCAGCAAACTGCAGTTATTAATTTACAGCAACTTTCCATTATGAGGCTGCCACAGATTTTTACCAATGAATTGACTTAAAGGGAGATATCTGCACATCTGTCTCAAATGCAGGTGCATTGGAAAGTATCTCTTACGTCTCTTGCTCATCTTCACGATTTATTTGTTAAACTACTCTTGACAGGGGCGTCAGTGGCTTAGTGGTAGAGCCCGGGTTCAACTCCAGCCTGTGGCCCTTTGCTGCATGTCATTCCCCCTTTCTCTCCCTCCTTCACACTTATCTGTCCTATCAATTAAAGGCTAAAATGGCCAAAAACATATCTTTAAAAAAAAAAAAAACTACTCTTGACAAAGGTCCAGGGGGACTGAAACATCGGTGTACCTAATAAATGGTGAAGCTGAGTAAGAGTGGTGTGCGGGATCTTCTTTTTAAGACTACCAATGACTTTTCAAAACTTTTCCATAATACTTTACCCCAGTTACAATTCCATGACTTTATTTAAGTATTCAAAATGGATGGACATATATGATGTTGCAGCCATACAATGTTGCACAGGTATTTGTGGACAAGAAAATTGCTCACGCTGCTAACTCCACTTGCTAATTAGAGATTCCCACTGCCAACTAGCTGCATGCACCAATAGACCAAACCAGCACAGAAAGGTGGAGTTGGGATGTAAGTCACACATGTGTAAGTCTCAAGTCATAACCTTCAAGCCTCAAGCAACTCCCCTGCTGCGAAATATGCGTTATCATATTTTTAAAAACAAAACTTCTCAACATGTAGAAAATAAAAAAGTGAAGTCCTTTCAAGTCATCTGTCTTAAGTAAAAGTCAAGTCATAATAACCAAGTCAAAGTCAAGTTGAGTCTTTCATCAGTGTTAGTCAAGCAAGTCTTAAGACACGAGCCGAGTCATGTGACTAGAGTCCTCCACCTCTGCATACAGGTACTATACACAACGTCAAGGCCACGCCCCTTTTGGGGGGATAAAAAAACAAAAATCTTAAAGAAAGATGTCAATGCAATTTTATGTGTTTGGATAACAATTTTCCTAAGTTTCTATACATTTTTTGGTAAACAAATGTTTGTTTTGTAGACATGTCTCATAATTGTTTTGCAACTTTGCCTGAACCTGAGCATTTGTAATACCTTTTTAAGTTAAGGTTGATCAATTGCCATCATGTCCGGTCAGTCTTTCCTGTCAAGCTGGATCAGAGACCCAAAGGAGGCCTTGGCAATGATGACGTTTCAAATGTTTCAGCAATCATGGCACAGCGAGGATTTAGATTAGTAATACATATTTTGTGTGGCATTTAACATGTTTTGGGATTTTTATGAACATATTTTAAATAACAGCCAAAACTTCTCTGAAACATTCTGTCAACTCCAAATTATTTCCAGGCCTAGTAAACAGTTTTTATAATTTCACAACTTTTCCATTAATTTCATGACCATGGGAACCAGGGTTAATTAACTTCTTAGTCCACCTGTCACTGTGGCTGCTGGATTCTAAAATCTACCAGCCGCTGGATAGATTACCAGTTGTTTTTTTTTTTGGCTGGTCAATAAAGCAAATCTAGACGCAACTTGCATATTTTACTGGCATTAGACTGGTGGCTGGTGCTAATTTCCTACCCTGGTGGGAACCCTGCACTTAAGTGACCATGTAAATCCAAAACCATCCCTCAGTATTCATATAATAGAGCCTAATTTTGAGCTAAAAAACAAAAGTGAAGCGCCAGATGTTTCCTGTCATTCCTTACGTCCTGATGTTGCCATGATCCTCTATATGTTTATTTTTTAAATTATTTTACTTATTTTATTTTATTTATTATAAATATTTATTTTCATCACTGTACCTGAAACACATGCACACACACACACATCTCTTCCCTCCCAGAGTGTAACATGGGCATGTGTAGGGTGTGATGGCATGACATAAACTGCAGATGTCGATTCATTGAGGACGTGCTGACGTTCGCTCATTGATGATGATCTGATGTTAATTCATTGACGACGGGCTGATATTCCAGGAGGTCATCTCAGTGGCAGATATGAATGTTTAATGGCTGCCCTGTGTTCTGCCTACGCAGCATGGATAAAACATTCATCGCACACCGCTCTAAATATATCACAAAGGGTCAACCCCGCCCCGGCCTTCTCCCCAACCAATGTATTATACATACGGGCTGGTGTCAGGGGTTAACAGCCAGACACCACAGAGCAGATGGAGGACGGACGGAGAGCAAATAACAAAATACAGAAAAACACTTCTGACAACAGCCGGATAAACACTAAAATATTAAATACAGACATTTAGCAACATGGAAACATTTCCAAAAACAAAAGAAAGATCTTGATCATTTATGTCAATTACAGTTAACAGGTCCACCTCTGACTTTTCTCTTCGCCAGCTGGAGTTGGAGGGACTAATAGTCTTGACCCAAGATAGGATCTGACCAGAAATCTGTATCACGTATCCCCGGGGGCAGCGACCATGACAAAACTCTAAACTGTCTTCAGGCTGCACAGCAATAACAACAGCAGTTGTCGGTATCGTCTAACTGCAGACTGAGATAAGGGGATAAAGGGAGTGAGTGGGCACAGAGGAAAGTTCAAAAGTTCCTTCCTGTCTCATCAGCTACACACACACATATACACAAGGTGAAGGCGGCTGGTCACCAAACAGGTAAAGAGACACACTGAGAGATCTATTCGATATGTGTGATATGTATCTGCTGTCTGGCTGATGTGGTCTGTTGACTGAGTGAACTGGTAATGAATAGAGCGCGGATGACAGAGATGAAGGAGGTGGGGAAAGGTAATGAGGGAAAAGGGAGACAGAGGGAAGGAGAGAGGTGCATCAACAAACTGCTGATGAATGAACTGCAGATTACACAGACGCTGAAAAGATGCTGAGCAGAAAAACAAGTGGGAAGGAGAAGGAAGGAGAGGGAAAGAAAGGCACGCACTGAGAGGATTTAACAAAATGGTGTGAAAAAAACAAAGTCAAAAGAGGGAATGACAAAATGAGAGATTAAGATGGTTATACTGAGAAACAGAAGATGGAGGGGTGACAGAGAGTGACAGAGAGACAATAGGGACCGAGCACGAGAGTGAGAGATGAAGGGGAGAGTCTCTTCGTCTACGTGCCAATCACTGACAACACGCTTTCAGCAGACGCACTCAGCGACACACGACTAATAAAGGAGATCACCTGAGCAGAGCACAGCCAACAGGCTCATTTAATGACTATGGGTGAACACACACACATGCACACTCAGGCAGTATGTCTCATAATGGAGATTGCATGCGATCGCTGAATGCAGCATCGACTCTGAATCATCTGGAGAGGCTAGAGATTGACAGCTACACACACACACATTATTTGGGGTTTTGAAAGCATGCACACACCCACACGTTGCAACTGCAATACATGTGAACACACACACTGCACACAATACATCACGCACACTGCGGGTTTGAGCCAAATGCGTGTCATCATATATTTCACATCCACTTAACAATGCACGGTTTAGTGACTCACACACACATACATCCTTGTACTTCCATCTTTGTGAGGACCCTCATTGACATCTCCACCACTTACCTTA